TACAGTGCTCTGAAATCGGTCTCAGCCTCAAAATCCAGTTCTGGTCGAGCTATAAGAGAATTATTTATCGTTTTGTGAACAAATGTTACAGCAGGATTGTAAACAACAGTACAGTCATGGTAAGAGAATAAACAATAACAAGGTGTCTTTGAGGCGGTGTGGCTAAAAGACAAATTCATGTCTGCAAAATGTTCACTGACAACATTTCATGTGGGGTTTTTTAAATAGCCAGCTCCCTTGTGATGTTATCTCGTAGCATCTAAAACACAAGATCAGTATATAAACAATTTCACTAGAAGGACCATGCCACAACAATGTGTCATTTAAAGGTTTAATGAATCTGAATGAACAGAGGAAATTGTTCTTTAGCTCAAATTAGTTAGTCTACAGAGAAAAAAAAAAAAAAACATAAACAAAATCAGCTTTTCAGACAGGATATTTTAGGCTGTTCACGTGTTGCTTTAGATTTAGGTTTAGACTCCACTTTCAGCAATGCACTTACGTGTTTGTATAGCCCCTCCTGGGCGCTCAAAAGTGGATTGTAAACAGATGATGAATGACAGAATATTAACACAGTTGCAATTATATAAAATTTCTTTAAATAAGAAAAAATGTAATTGCTGACAGATACTATTAAAATGTCCTCATAGCAGCTTACGACTACATTAAGTGTGTTCTAAACCATGTATTCAATATTTGTATACTGCTTATAATTGGTAGAAGGAGTTCAAATTAAAGTGCTTAATTAATTATTAATTAAAATGTGCTTCACAATTATCTAACAGGTGGGTAACTTTAATAACTTGTAATAATATAACATTATGTGTGTAAAAGTAAAGGTCAAAATCATTTAATTAAAAGAAACGTGCAACTGGGCATTGAATGTCTGTGATCCACTGATTCAAAGAGCTGTCTGCTGACAGATCCTGCAAATGTATACAAGAAACAGTGTTTGTTGCATTAATAGAAAGCTAATTCAGATGAATGATGTCACATCGTTTCAGTGTCTAACATGATGTGAACTTTTGTCTTTGATCTACAGGTTGTGAGGCCTTGTCTGAAGTGAAGGGATGTATCAGGATGGGTTGAATTCACCTGCAAATATCCAAAACCAAATGTAAAATATCAAAGTATTGATGTAGTTTCTCCCAAAGAAATCATACGAAGCTCTGAGAAGGATGTGTGGGAAAACAAAGGCAAGTTTCCCTGTACCATGATCCAAAAAATACAAATCTCAGAGTGGCCATTAAACAACTTGAACGTGAGGACTTCGGGGACTATCAGTGTAAATTTCACCAACAGTCGGACTCATCCCAGGACACAGAGGAAGTGAAATTGGATTGGTAAGAGACACTTTTCATTCAAATACATTCTTTGGATCCAGCGCTTAAATATATATACATATTAAAATGATAAGAACTTAATGCAAAGTATTTTGACTCCAATTTCACATTCAGTAGAGTCACTTTTTTAAGTCATCATCTGCTTACATAACCAAAATCAAAATCAATTTGCCATAAAGATCATATTCCAATACATACTGTATGAGTGTGTGATTGCATTTCCATCATGTGTTAGCACAGTATCTCAGTTTCACATTTGATATTTCTTGTTTATTTGCAGAGACAGACGGCTGCCAGAGACAATTTATTCAAACTGCGTACAGAACAGCTAAAACCACCATCACATGTGATTACACAGGAAACAAATACAAGTTCTTCTGCAAACAGAACGGTTCAATCTGTGAGGATATTTTATCAACAAAATCCTCTCTGAAGTCAAACGGGACATTCACTCTCACAGAAACCAACAGTAGCTTCAGCATGTCCATCAGTAACGTGTCCTCACATGATGCTGGTGTCTACCGGTGTGGAGTGGAAACACATGAAGGAAGTTACAGAGCTGCTCTCAGAAAGATACAGCTGAAGGTTGAAGGTGAGCAGCACACATCTGACACTTTGAGCTTTGATCTACTCATACAGAAAATTAAGTGTCTGTCTGTCTCTCACAGCTAAAATTACTAACTTCACCAAGTTTCCAAATATTGGACAGAATCTCACATTCGGGTGTCGATATCGAAATGATGCTCCGATTAACAAATTCATCTGTAAGGGAGAAGATCCATCTATATGTCAACCTGTAGTCAGCAATTGCATGCATAGTGAATAAATAAAGCCATCATCATGGATCAGCAATACTATGATTCACCATGGCAAAAGAAGCAGTGACAGAATCTGAGTTGGCGTGAATAAAGAGTCCCTAAGTTACAGTTGAAGTTTTATAATGAACCACAGTTAGTTAGTTTCCCTTTGGTAAAGAGCAAAACATTTGGCAGCATCAGACCTTTTTCACAGAAGACATTTTTACATCACAGTAGGAAAATACAGATGTAAATAATAAATGAATGAGGGCTGAATTCCATTTAGCTGCTGCAGTTTCAGGGTCCTGATATTGTTCATGCTGACTCACTGTCATGACTTAACAGAGCCATTGTTAATGTTATTATTAACACCTGTGCTGTTCCTGCCATCAAACAGATAAGACCATTTTTGATTTTATTGCCTTTATTGTCATTGCATGTGATATACAATTTCAGTCACTGTCAACTGAAACAGTAAAAAAAACTTTTTGGTTTCAGTTAAAAAGACACAACTGAGTTAATATTTTTTCTTTCTAATCTATTTTCTATTTTTACTTAGCAATCCTGGCAAGAGCATCCTATTACTCAATTATGGCAAAAAATCATAATCACTTATTGACTAATAATATTGAGATTGCGATTAATTAACACGATTAGTCAATGATTTGGGGAGTTTGCATGCTCTCCCCGTGTCCCCGTGGGTTCTCTCCAGGTGCTCCGGCTTCCTCCCACCATCCAAAGAAATGCAGGCTGGGTTAATTGGTGTCTCCGAAATTGTCCTTAGGTGTGGATGTGATTGGTGTTGTCTATGTGTGGCCCTGAGATGGACTGGTGACCTGTCCAGGGTGTACCCCGCGTTTCGCCCGATGTAAGCTGGGATTGGCTCCAGCTGTTTGCAGGAGAAGCGGTTGACGATGGATGGATGACCTTTTTGAAAAAAAGGATCTTCTTGAACTTTGAATTTTCTCTAACTCATTCAGTATAAAACGTGCTTTGTGACCAGATCTGTCTGATCTGGGCATGTTACCACACAGTTGTTTACTGTCATATGCTTAAGGCTCTTTTCTAACTTTTTATTTGCACCAGTCTTTGGGACTGCCACAGTGTGTAACAACCGTCAAACAGCTGAATTGGTTTTTCCTTACTTGTTCTTGATCAAAAGCGCTCCACCCTTCATCTTGGCCCGAGCTGAACATATAGGTCACATAACCACTGGATTATAAAGTCAAAGCAGAGCATCATTGCGAAAAAGAATGTCTCACAAAAATTATTTTACCTAGATTATTTTGTTTTCATAACTTGTGGAAGCCAAAATCATAATTGAAAATTGCAGAAGAAATCAGAACCTTTATAGTGTATGTGAAGAAGCAATTAAGCTGAAACTCATTAAAGCCTTATAATTTGCTTTGTTAAAAAAACATTTGACTTTTTTTTCAAATGGCTGTGAAATCCTGATGCTGCTTAATACTTGTTTTAAGTTCCTGCACTTCTTCAGAGCTGCGTTCTGCAGTGATGTGACAGCAGAACTTCATCAGCAACAACTAAAACCCAAGTGATCAATTCATAAACAGATTTAGTGTTGAGTGTTTCACTATGCATGTTTTATACTTTTTAAGGATAATTAACATTCTGATCTCTAAGGGTTATTCTGTCTGTTCTCTTGCCAAATTTAATTGTTTTCTTTTTCAGTATCACCAGCAGTATCACCAGCAGTATCCACATCTCTGTTTTTTTCAACCCAGTCAACTACTGCATCTGCAGAGAGTCCTGGTAAGAGAGCACGTTTGACTTCTTAAATCTTCTGCTAGAGAAGAGCGGGGGGGGTTAAAATGAAATTTCTATAAACGTCCACTTACATTTTCTCAACACAGACAGCTGTGGATAATGACCCATGTTAAAAAAAATAATTGTGGTTTATTTTGCAGGTGGCCCTCACGTCGTCATCACTGTGATCGTCTGTGTAGCTGTGCTGCTGCTGCCGTTTGTGCTGATTTTGATCTAATCTACGCATGTAAGAGTTATTACCAGTTTGCAGAAGAAACACTCACATTTTGTAAACAGAAAACCACATTAACAACAGCTCCACCCTGTGTGGAGGTGAGGACTAACAAGGCCAAAGAAACACTCTATATCGTTTGTAGTGACTATACATGACTTCTTTTTCATGTCTTGAAGTTAATGGACACAATGTTTTTATACAAAGAAAGGAAAAACTTCACTTATTTGCCAGACTTACAAGAGGAAACAAATAATTATAAATTTGTTGTAAAACAGAATTTCACAAAGTATAAACTTTACATTTTCCCCAACTCACCAGCATGAGTCTGGTGCGAATTAGCCTCCACCTGAAATTACTCATGCGCAGTTTAGGAGAGGTCCAATCTCAATGAGGATAACAAGAAAACAAGAAAAAAATACCAGGTGTAAACACAAAGGCAAGATCCGATGGTTAAAGTAACATTATATAAATTTGTTTTTTGCGAGATTTGGTGTCAGTACTGTTGTGGGAATTTACATCACAGTAGGAATAACATAAGGATATAGGAGAGGAAAGGTTAAGGATAAACACATATATCTATAAGACATAGCAATAATATTAATAATAATAATAAAAAAACCAGTCGCATGGACCCGAGGACCATGAATCTGAGATAAATGGATAGAGGTCCTCAGGAATATGTTTTAAGTTGCTACCAGCCATGTTTCAGTGCGTTATGGGAATAATAATGTCGCTTTAAGGCTTAAAGTTAAAGGCTTAAAGAGGTAGTGTCTCAATTTGATAAAAATTGGTGAAATTAATCCATTTATGTCCTTCTGCTTTTTTACTCAGCTATTGTTATCTTACTTTTGCTTCTTCCAGGATTTTCACCTTTAAAGAACACAAGAAATGGAGCAGCAGCACAGCACAAAAAGGTCAGTGTATAAACAACTGTCCTCTACAGAAAAAAAAATAACCGTATAAATAAGCGACCTCTAGTGGCAGTACAATGCAAACACATTAAGGATCGACTGGTATTTATTTTTTTGGGCCGACCGATGACTGATATGTGGAACCGTTATACATTTGCTGTAAAATTTTTAATCTTGGTGTCAAAATTTTGAATAACACAAACTCCAACACAAAACTTTGTTGAAAATAACAAGATTAAAGTTAATTGTCATGTTTAATCTTTAAAATATAAATTAAATGAATTAGAGATCCATCCCAGAGATGGACTACTATAATTGAAAAATTATCATAACTTTTCCTTTACCACCTGCTATTATATTATAATATGTGTGTGATGTGCTGCAAGTAGGCAAGTTAATTTTACTAAATGTAAAAATGTCACCACAAAGTGTAGGATAGGCTCTGCATGAAGACATTTACATTTATTAATTTAGCTGATGCTTTTATCCAAAGCAGCTTACAATTGCTCTATATGTCAGAGGTCGCACGCCTCTGGAGCAACTAGGGGTTAAGAGTCTTGCTCAGGGACACATTGGTGTTTCACAGTGGATTGAACCCAGGTCTCTCACATGAAAGGAATGCATCTTATCCACTGCCCCATCACCACCCCAAGGTTAAAGAGCTGAGGTGGTTCGGTATGGTGTTTGTCCCAACCCCCCAGCACTGTGATAGAACGGCTGGGTAAGACCATTGACCACGCGCGTTGAGCTCCAAGCTGACATTTTTTCACTCTCGGTGACCGGAAAAAAACACTCAGCGCCCAGCGCTTGCCTCTCAACAAGCGGCTTTGCAAGGAGCTAGTAAATTTTAAGATACGTATCATCTCAGCTAAACAGGCTACAACCAGCTAACTTCGTAGTTTCAGGGTTAGCTAGTTAGCTAACCATATTAGGCTGCGTTCAAAAAGTCAAGAATAATCTTCTTTCCTAACCACCTTTCTTTGACCTCGATGGAAACGTCATGAAGTCAAAGAAAGATGTGTCCGCCATCTAAAGGCGGACATCACGGTGGATGGTACATAGCAAAAGGCAGATAGGGTAACAGTTACCAAATAATGGACAGGGTGTTTCCCACAGAATGACAGCGTAAGGTGAGAGAGAGAGAGAGAGAGAGAGCGACTGTGCAGAAGGGGTGCTGAGCGAATAGCCTAGTATATGCTCTGCCCGCAGAACTGTGATCTAAATCGATTTTACCCATAGCCTAATAAAAAACAACAATAATCGAAATACTTCCAGGTCACTTGACTCAGTTAGGAACCTTCCTAAGCAAAAAAGACGCAGCCCTAGTCTTAAAGGCGTTGACAGAACCCCGTAGATCCCAAACCTCATCCTGACCTTCACAGTCAGTGATTGTATGTATGTTGAATGGTAAACCCAACAGCTGTGTAGGTAGGGTTTGCCTCCTTTGTGTCACTCCACGTGTTTATGTCATGTGACTTAGATCATGTGATTTCCAAAACGCTCATTTGAGTCTTATTTGGATATTGGTAAAAACAACTATGTTGTCGTTTAGGTTTGAGGACTTGTTGGTATATATGAATGTTTGTGTGTGTTGTGGTACTGTATAGGTTGAATAGATATTGCTGGAATAATTGTGCAATAAGCTGGATTACTCAAGTATGAGTGTTAAAAGAATAAGAAAGAACTTCTGGGACTCTCACTTCATAGAAAAAACATATATAAATATTGACCAACAAGGATGCAGCGTTTTCACTGTTTCAGTGACAGAATCTCCCTTTTTGCTACGTGTGGAGATCCTGTTGTGTTTGTTATGAATATTTTACCTACAGTGGTCAAATTTAGATGCAGGAGCACTACCACCTCTGATAACCAACTGGCACACACATTTCTTTGCTGTTTCTTCCCTGTTGCCTCTGAACAGAAACCAAGGAGGATAACTAAACTCCTCTCCTATAAAGTATTATACTGTTACCAACGATAATTATCAAAAACCACTGCAGACTACAATGGGAAATATGTTACTGTATGATATAATGTATGTGGGAATGTTTTAAAACTTTAATTATTTAAACAATATTATTAAAAGCTATTGTTCTCTAAAATTGTATTTATTTATAGTTACTCAGACTCAGTTCTTATTATATGGATTTTATATGATTTTTTCAGACTGTATTTTTCATTCTGGTAGGATCATGTCTATGAGGAGATACAGCAGACGCCAAACTCAGGAAATAAGATGAACACGATTTATGCCACTGCCACTTTCCCACAAACCCCTCTGCCTCGCGCATTACTCCAGCATCAACTTCCAAACAGCTCTGACAGAGTTGGTGGTGAGACAGTGATCCTCAAACCCAGCTCTGCTGCCTACGAATATTCTACTGTGAAGTAAAATCCAGCCTACTGTACAGTCAGCCAGCCGTCCAGCTCTTCAGAGGATCCTCTCTACACAACAGTCAACAAGCCACAGCAGCACCGAGCAAAGATCAGCCCTGTCAATTTATGACATTTACTACATGTATGGTCAAATTTCAGGTCATTCATTCATTGCTGATGTGGTTGTTTACAATGAATCCAGCTCAGACTTCAGGAACTTCACCAAGATATTCAGATGTTGGACGCTGTCAACTTAAATCCCATCAATCCAGAGACACACGATTCACTCATCATCCACATTGTTTGAGTCACCAAGGTGTGAACAGGACTTTTGCACCGATCTGTAATTACTAGAGGAGTCTTTCTTGTCTTGCTTCTGAAGCTCAGCTTTATATTACAGCTGATTATTATCTCATTACCTGATTTAACTTATCACAGATACTGTATATTGTTGACCTGGTCTGAATCAGAGTCCTAGAAATAAAAGAAAATCCTTTCCCTACAATTCATGATATTTTATGAAATTTTGCACACTGAGAACATATTTTGAGAACATATTTTGACGACTACATTGACCATTTGAATTCACATTTAATTTCCAGATAAAGTGGCTATTCCTCTTTTTGTTTTGGTCAGTTATTTACTCATTTAGTGACGTTAACACACCAACTAGACAACTGCACTGGGATCAAATCATTATTTTACATTACCTTGACAGCTGAGGTGGTATGGTGCAGTGGACAAGATAAAGACCTGGGTTCAATCCCCCTCTGTGACCCCTCCACTGATGTGTCCCTGAGCAAGACACTTAACCCTAGTTCCTCCAGAGGCGTGCAACCTCTGACATAAAAAGCTTTGGATAAAAGCGACTTAATTTAAAGAAACTGTTTTAAAACTGGTAGTTTGTTATTATATATATATTTCATAGTTTTATGTACAAGAAAACAATCATTAAAATGTTGCTTATTATTTACAACACCAGTGTAACAGCCTCCTCATTTAATCTTATTAATTTCACTGTATGCAGGATTTTATTTTATTTTTTTACTTTAGTGTCATCTAGTGGTAAAATTAAGACTGACATTGTGTCCCAGTTTGCTCCTCAGTCTCTGATTCGCCCTCTGTATTGGTGTTGCTCTTTGTCCCTTTCTCTAACTCCCTAGCGCTGCCATCCTCAAGCTCACTGTGTGAAAGTGAATTTAATAATGTCAGTTATAATGTAATAATGTCAAATATTTAGAAATACAGTGGTGAAATTACAATGTTCTGAAGTTGAGCATTTCAGTCATGTTGATTGTTTATTGTTGTGAACTTTCTCACTTTAAATGTTGCAGCTGCTAGAAATTGTGAGATGGAATGATCTCCTTGAGTTTTGTGAAGCACTGGTTCTCAAACTTTTTCATGTCAAGGACCCCCAAAACTGACTCACATTAGACGACGGACCCCCATTTGAGATCCCACCGTGACACACTGTGGGAGACAACACTACATGCCTTTTACCAAGACTACAGATATCATCAAAATAACTTGAAAGATGCAACAATCACATAGAATTTTACAAATAGCAAATTAACTTTAATGTGCTGAATATCTAGATACATTCATTTTCAATTTAAATCACCAAATAAGCACAGTTTCCTGTGGTTTACTGATGTCTGCAATGATGTGTGTAGAAAAATATGAGGGGTGGAGCTTTTTGTAAGTGATCTAAAATAGAATGACACTAAAGCCTGAGATCATAACCTGACTGAGGATGTTCAGTCTGACCGTGATGCTTTTCTATTCAGTTTTGTTGAATGACTAATTATTATTGAACAAGGAGTGACTATAACAGTGTTAAAACAATGCAGGGGGCTGTGATGGTGGGGGTGTGCTGTTTAAAATGACGGTGAGACATCAACGATCCAGCCCAGTTTGACAGTCCATCAGGTTAAAGGATCACAGGATCTGACAAAAGATCTGGAAAATGTCACAGCATCAATAGTTTAATCTTTGGTTGCACTGACTGTGAGATAAACAGCAGAAATACAGCGATCCAGTTACAAAGGAACGTCTGCTTGCTTGTGTTTCATTTGCCAACTCAGCTTCTTACCCGAAGACTTCCTTTTGCAGTCTGGCAAAAGCTGTGCCAGGTTTATCTTTTTGCCAGAGTACTCTGAAGGTGTTTTTTTTTTCTGCCAAAAAAACACTCAATAAAACAAGGCAAGGCAGATACTGCCACACGTTTTAATCTAATTCAGCCAATAAACCTGATTAAACATGATAACCTGTTTATAAATATAATAATATAATTTATCAGCCATCAGCAGCAGTTTCATGTGGTTTTGTTCTATGGGTGGAGACTTAAGTGAGCCTGTGGTTTGCAACCTGTTGGTTTTAAATAGCTTTTCTGGTTAAGGGTGAGAATGTCTCATAGCCAGAGGGAGATAAAAAATAATAATAGTAAGAGACGTGTCAACATAGACCTCATCCACAGCCATCACTACTGTTGTTCCACATTTCCATGTGAAGCTTTACAGCTTATTATTACAGCTTCTGTTTAAAAAGAGCTGTATCTCCTACCATTTAAATGCTGAACACTATCTGACAATGAAAAACTAAAGGCCATTGTTCACTATCTGCTCAGCAGCAAACAGGAGACAGACACAGTTAGAGACTAACTGGTGAACACAGTCGAGCATTTAGCAGCTAAAGAGTCAAATCTTCTCTCAGGGAGGTTCTAGCCCCAAAACAAAGCTAACAGAGAGAATACTGGACAGATGAATGACCACTCTGCTTTGCGAACAAGTTCATCTTGAAGGTGATAATATGTTAATGATGTTCATAGGTTGCTTCCACTGCCCTCCAACAGGGTCACACACAGGTCCAAAATACAAACGCACAAACAGGACCTCTACATGTCAGAGTGAGGGGGCTGCCACGCAGTCAGGCTCCCTGAGCAGTTAGGGGTTCAGGCTTTGCTCAGGTGAACCTTCAGCAGTGACCAGGAGGTGAAGTGGCACCTCTCCAGCTGCCAGTCTGAACTCCTTTTGACTGATCCGTGCTGGACGTGAACCGGAACCACCATCCGGTTCCCAAGATAAGACCCCACAGACTGAGCTACTGCTGCCCAAAGGTTTAACATCCACAGGTTTTAGGAGAAAAAAATTCTAATAAAATGTCTTTAGTTTGTTCCCTCAGTCACCTGTGCAGATACACAATTTATGATCTATGAAGTACGTAATTTACTTGATTAAAACCAGATCATGAATAATGATGAGGATGTACGCATTCACAGTTTGTAGTTTGCATAAGTTATAACTGTTGCACTGTGTCAGGGGACAGTACAAGTTTTCTCTCTCTCTCATTACAGTCATTTCCTATTTACTGTGTAATGAAGTGATGTATAAGGTGGGAGGAGATGGCTAAAACTTAAAGAAGAAAGATGAAAGGGGCAGGATAGAAAATTGAGGAGTAGTTTTTAGGTATCATAAGATGTAAGTTCAGGAAATAGAGCTGTGCAGATACAGGAGACCAACCAACAAGGAGGATCTCAGCATCCAACAAGATGAAGATCTTTCTTCTTCTCTTCCTCTCACTGATGACAGGTAAAACGTTTGCTGCTATTGGACTACTGATCTTAGAGATTACACTTGTTACAGCCCTGCTCGTAGAGCACTGACTTCACAGTTAAGATGTCTCACTCAGTAAAGCTTGGTCACAAAAAACAAATAATTTTTTTTTAAATATTTTACATGATGAAAAATAATCGACATCCAGTTTTTGTAAACACTGAAATTGGTCTCAGCCTCAAAATCCAGTTCTGTTCAGGCTATAAGAGAAATATTTTAAGTCTGAAAGGATATTTATAGTTTTATGTACAAATGTTAGAGCAGGATTGTGAGGAACAGTACAGTAATGGTGGAAGAAAAGCTTTTCAGACATGATATTTTAGGGGGTTCAGGAGTTGATGACTGTAGACGCCACTTTCAGCAATAATATTATCAAGTGTTTGTAAGCCCCTCCTGTGGGTGCCATCAGTGGAGGCTGGTAAATAAACAAATGAATGACAGTTTATTTTACATTAAATGTCTTCAAAAAGTAATAATTGCTGACATTAAAATTGCTAAATTAAAATCTCAGGGTGGCCATTAAACTAACAGAACATGAGGACTTTGGGAAGTACACCTGTAAATTTGACAATCGACTTTTACAACCCAATGCACATCTAATGAATTAAATGAAATTTCAGAAACATATTCTCTCTTTGCTTTTTAACTGATTTAATTCAGCTTTCATACTGTACATGTAAAGTGTGGTGCCACTACTCTAAATTATTTTGCTTCCACATCCAGTAGAGAAATCAATTTGCCATGAAGATCAGATTCCAAAAAAAGCAGATGTAACACTCTCCCCACTCATCACCAATGTAAGCAACTCCTCATTGTCCATTGGACTCGACCCCGACACCCTGAACAACTGCAGGCCCATCTCCATCATTCTTTCTCTGTCCACAATCCATGAGCGAGTTGTCGATACTCACTCAAACTGCCCTACTTAAAATCACCCAATGATATACTTCACTCTGACTCTGGGTTCCTCACCATCCCTATCTCCATGCTATCTTTCAAACAGACCCTCAAAACCCACCTTTTCAAGACTGCATTCTCCAGTTCTGTCCTTCCCCTCTCTCCCTCCTTTTCTTTTTTGACCAGTTACTTTTATCTTTCGCCCTGTAAAGCGTATTTGAGTGTTTAGAATATTATCAATATCATTCACACCTTATGAGTGTGGTGACCACGTGTTAGCACAGCATTACTGTATTTTAATTCCGGTTTTACCTTTCTGAGACAGACGGCTGCCAGAATCACTTTAAACAAACCGCGTACAGAACAGCTAAAACCACCATCTCATGTGATCACACAGGAAACAAACACAAGTTATTCTGCAAACAGAACGGTTTAATCTGTGAGCTGAAGGTTAACTGTGAGCAGCACACATCTGACTCTTTTAGCTTTGATTTTCTCACGCAGATAATTAAAGTGTCTCTGAAATATGTTGTTAAATACAGTCACTGATACACAACAATGTTTTTTTTTCTCTCTACAGCTTCTATTACTAACTTCGCCACGTTTCCAGCTGTTGGACAGAATCTCACATACTGGTGTGAATATCCAAATGATTCTTTTATAAACAAATTCATCTGTAAGGGAGAAGATCCATCTATATGTAAACCTCTATTAAGCACACAGCACAAAAGATCATTGGGAGGTTTTCTATGAAGAAGAACAAAAACAAGAGAAATCACCATAACAGTGAGAAACGTAACAACAGACGACACTGGGACATACTGGTGTGGCAAAAAGCACTGACAAACACACAGCAACAAATTCTTCGAAAAGCTGGTGATGACTGTCGGTGAGTGATGTTATTTTATTGTGTGGATGTAATCTGATCCTGGTTCAGATTGTAGGAGGGTAATAGTTGGATGACAAGCATGAAAATGCTATAGTAATTATTGATTACTGCTGGACTCTTCTTTCATCTTATAAAGTTATCTTAATAAATATTGGTCTGCAAAACACTTGGCAACAATTGACCTTTTCACAAAAGACATTTTTACATCACAGAAGGAGAAACACAGGTGTAAACAATAAAATACATGAGGGCTGAATTCCATTTAGCTGCTGCAGTTTCAGGGTCCTGATATTGTTCATGCTGACTCACTGTCATGACTTACTGTTAGACTTGAATATAACAGAGCCATTGTTAATGTTATTATGAACACTTGTGCTTTTCCTGCCATCAAACAGATAAGACATATTTCAGTCACTGTAAGCTGAAACAATAATATGACTTTAGGGTTGCAGTTGAAAGGCCCCTCAAAAACTGAGATAGTTTTATCTGTTTCATGTATTGATCTTAATTAAACAGCATCCTATTTCATCCATATTTAAGCATGTAGTAGATTTTGAAATGCTGTTACAAAGGCAGTCAACTGGGATATCCTGTCACTGGCTGACTCAGTCTGCAGAAAGATATCTTTGTTGCTATTTGTGCTCTTGTTTTCATTTCCTGCACTTCCATTTTCAGAGCAGCGTACTGCAGTGATGTGACAACAGAACTCTATCAGCAACAACCAAAACCCTTAAAAAGTGATCAATTTTATTTACACAGATGTAGATACTTCACTTTTTAAGGATAGATGCACATTTTCTCAAGTCAAAATAATACTCACATTTCTGTATGTGCATTGAAAGTGTTACTGTTCACTGTTATTGTGACTAATACTAGCTGCAAAGAGATCATTTCCTAAAGGATGTGAGAATACATTTAGAAATTCAGCTGAAGCTATATGAGGTTCTGGGCTGGACTTTTTTACTCTGAGTCAGACAACCAACCGCCACCAATGGCCACAGTTGCAATTATATAAAATTATCTTTAAATAAGATATTATAATTGCTGACAGATACTGTCCTCATAGCAGCCTATAACTACATTATAGTGTGTTAAAAGAATGTATTAAATGTTTGTATACTGCTTACAAGTGGTAAATATTGAGCTCAAAGTAAAGTTGCAATGTTGCATTGATAGAGAGCTAATTCAGATGACAGTCTGTCAAGTGTCATGTTGTGAACTTTTGTCTTTGATCTACAGGTCATGAGGTCTTGTCTAAAGTGAAGGGATGCCCAGTAGGATGGATTAAATTCACCTGCAAATATCCAAAACCAAATGTAACATATGAAAGTTTGATTTAGTTAATCCCAAAGAAACCATACGAAGTGCTCTAAAGAATGTGTGGGAAAACAACGGCAGAGTTTCCTGTACCATGATCCAAAAAAAAAACATCTCAGGGTGGCCATTAATAAACTGAACATGAGAACTTTGGGAAGTACACCTGTAAATTTAACCAACTACCTGACTCATGTGACACAGTGGAACTGGACTTGGACGTTGGTAAGAGGCACTCACTTTTTATTAAAATGAATGTTACAGATGTTGGTTATAAATTTCCAGATTATTTGACTCTAATTTCACATTCACTAGAGTCAATTTCTATTTCAAGTCATCATCTACTCAGATAAACAAAATGGAGATCAATTTGCAATAAAAGTAGATTTAACATGATTCACACTTTACTGTATGAGTGTGGTGATTTGCATTTCCATCATGTGTTAGCACATTATCACAGTTTCACATTTTACCTTTCTTGTTTATTTGCAGAGACAGACGGCTGCCAGGGACATTTTAATCAAACTGCGTACAGAACAGCTAAAACCACCATCACATGTGATTACACAGGAAACAAATACAAGTTCTTCTGCAAACAGAAAGGTTCAATCTGTGAGGATATTTCATCAACAAAATCCTCTCTGAAGTCAAACGGGACATTCACTCTCACAGAAACCAACAGTAGCTTCAGCGTGTCCATCAGTAACGTGTCCTCACATGATGCTGGTGTCTACTGGTGTGGAGTGGAAACACATGAAGGAAGTTACAGAGCTGCTCTCAGAAAGATACAGCTGAAGGTTAAAGGTGAGCAGCAAACATCTGACACTTTGAGCTTTGATTTACTCACACAGATAATTTTGGTGTCACTGAAAAATGTTGTTAAATACAGTCACTGATACACAACGATGTCTGTCTGTGTCTCTACAGCTTCTATTACTAACTTCACCAAGTTTCCAGCTGTTGGACAGAATCTTACATACTGGTGTCGATATCCAAATTATACTCTGATAAACAAATTCATCTGTAAGGGAGAAGATCCATCTATATGTGAGCCTCTATTAAGCACACAGCAAAACAAGACCATTGGGAGGTTTTCTATGATGGAGGAACAAGATAAGAGAAATATCACCATAACAGTGAGAAATGTAACAACAGACGACACTGGGACATACTGGTGTGGAGCAGAAAGTACTGACAAAACACACAGCAACAAATTCTTCCACAAACTGGTGATGACTGTCGGTGAGTGATGTTGTTTTATTGTGTGGATGTAGTTGACTATCAGTTGTATCAGCTCTGACTATATTAACCTCCAAGTGCATGCAAGACATAAAATAAAGCCATCATCAATGGATCGCCAATACTACGATTCACCCTGGCGACGGGTAAAGCAGAAGAAGCAGTGACAGAATCTGAGTTGGCGTGAATAAAGATAAATAAGTTACAGTTTTATAATGAACCACAGTTAGTTTCTCTGTGGTAAAGTGCAAAAACACTTGGAAGCAATAGACCTTTTCACAGAAGACATTTTTACATCACAGAAGGAGAAACACAGGTGTGAACAATAAATTTAATGATGGCTGAATTCCATTTAGCTGCTGCAGTTTCAGGGTCCTGATATTGTTCATGCTGCCTCACTGTCATGACTTACTGTTAGACTTGAATATAACTGTCTGATCTGGTCACCAAACAGTTGTTTACTATCATATGCTGATGGCTCTTTTCTAACTGTACTGTCTCTAACTATCTGTACCAGTTTTTGGGACTGTCACAGTGTGTAACAACCGTAAAACAGCTGAATTGGTTTTTCCTTTCTTGTTCTTGATCAAAAGCGCTCCACCCTTCATCTTGGCCCGACCTGAACAAATATGCCACATAACACACTGGATTATAAACACAAGCCAAAGCAAGAGCATCATTCCGAAACAGAATGCATCACAAAAATTGTTTGATCTCGATGATCTTGTTTTCATAATTATTGGAAGCCAAAATCACAATCAGATCCCTCATACTGTATGTGAAGAAGGAAACTGTTGTTTATTACTTCTTTGTAAAAGCATTTCACTTTTTTTTTTCAAATGGCAGTCAGCTGTGATATCCTGACGCTGACTAAGATCACCTGATGTTGTTGCTGTTTGTGCTCATTTTCATTTCCTGCACGTCTCAGAGCAGCATCCTGCAGTGATTTGACAGCAGAACTTTATCAGCAACAACCAAAACCCTTATCAAGTGTTCAGTTTCATCAACACAGATTTAGTGTTTATGCATGTTTTATAATCTTTAAGGATAAGCTGAAATTTTGTCTTGAATGTACAATGAAAGTGTTACTGTTCACTGTAAATATGATCCATACTGGCTGTGACGAGAACTCTCTGTCAGAAAGCAAATGAGAGCATTTCTCACACTGAGACTATTCCTTTAAAAGGCTGTTACACAATAGACCAAGTGTCCCATTAAGTCATAACAGTAAGTCAGCATGAACACCAGGAAACTGAAGTAGCTGAATGGATTCAGTCTCATTCATTATCATTTATTCATTATTTAGTTTCCCATTTTTATTGTGTTTCAGAAACACGGGAGACCAATTTAAAAGATGCGAACATTTGTGCTCTCGGTGAATCTATTAACAAACCCAAGAGAAAAAGAGAGTTCTGTGGAATCGGACCTCTAAGGGTTATCCTTTTGCCAAATTAAATTGTCTTTTTTTTTCAGTATCACCAGCAGTATCAACAGCAATGTCACCGACATTATCCACATCTCTGGTTTCTTCAAACCAGTCAACTACTGCGTCTGCAGAGAATTGTGGTAAGAGAGCAATTTGGATATATTACACCATCTGCTGGAGAAGAGCAAGAGGAGGGGGGGATATTTTAAATTAACCGCCCACTTAAATATACTCAACACAGACAGCTGTGGATGATAATGAATCTGGTTTATATTGCAGGTGACCGTCAGGTCGTCATTACTGTGATCGTCTGTGTAGCTGTGCTGCTGCTGTTTGTGCTGATTTTGATCTACAAACGTAAGAGTTATTACCATTTTCCAGAAGAAACACACACAATGCCCTGGGTAACCCTTTAGCATCATTTTTAGACGTGTAAGGCTCGGCGGTCAAGTTAGCAACGCTTAGCAACAATAAATATGCAACATCCAGATAGACTCTCAAAATAAAACAATAGCGTTTCGAAACATCAGCATTTTGAAACATCACATTATTAAAGTCGTGAAACGTTGCAATTTGGTTAGGTTTAGGAACAAAACTACTTGGTTTGGAAAAGATCATGGTTTGGGCTAAAATAACTATATACGTCACTTAACGCGCAAGTTCACTTACGTCACGTAACTTACGAAATTTATGTAACTTGCTTAACTTAAATAAAAATATTTAATGTTGACTTTTTGTTTCACACTGGACACGGACCCCAGTCTCCTGGTACAAAGTCCAGGTGCTGGTCCTCCATCCACCCCAACCACCTCCTTACTCAGTCTTTTCTATTAAATATCATATACCTGCCTTTACCGTCCAAAACTAACGCTACAGTGCTTCCACCGAAGCGTTGAACTATGATGCTATAGGGATCCCCATTGGGTTACAAACTGATGCTGATGGGTGTTAAGTCAGAACTTATTCAGCAAAAGTGTTTCCATCTCCCATTTGGCACATTAACTATTTCTTGACAAAGACTAAAAAGCACCTCAAGCGAGTGTTAAACCTTTCTGCGAAATTAAGGAAGTTTTTTCAAATTTTGCATATTTTGTATTTCCATCAAACTAATGCGATACTTCTTAATGGATATTTAAAAAATGTATCTGGAAACAAAGCTAATAACACAGTCTCTGGGCCACAGAAATGACAGAGATCCCATTCTTCCTATTACAAGTCAGTGTACCATGATATGGATTTTGAAACTTTTGAAACTTTTAAGATAAAATTACTACATAACGTTGCTTTACGGCTTAAAGTTTAAGGCTTAAAGAGACTGTGTCTCAATTTGATGAAAAGCATGAAATTAATCCATATGTGTCCTTCTGCTTGTTTACTTAGTTATTGTTCTCTTACATTTTCTTCTGCCAGGATTTTCACATTTAAAGAACACAAGAAATGGAGCAGCAGCACAGCACAAACAGGTCAGTGTATAAATGAGACTGTCCTCCATAGAAAAACGACCATATAGGTTGTTTAATCCACACAAAAGTACAACTCATGTTTACGTTCATTGTGGCAGCGACCTCTAGTGGCCGTACAACACAAACACATGACAAGGACGCTCACTTGGGGCGGCAGTAGTCAGTCCATAAGCATTAGGCTGGGAACCGGAGGTCGCCGGTTGGAATCCAGCTCGGACCAGAGTTGTGGAGCGTGACTGGTAGTTCACCTCCTGGGCTCTGCCGAAGGAGGACTTGAGCAAGCCCCTGAACCCCCAACTGCTCGGGGCGCCGTACTGACTGGCAGCCTCTGACACCCTGACATCTCTCAGTGTGTTGCTATGGGTCGTGTTTGAGCATGTGTGTGTCTTTCAGACCTGTGTGTATACTAACATAATAACAGAGTGAAAACATTGAGTTTCCCCTCTGGGGATTAAATAAAGTATGTCTTCTTCTTCATCTTCTTCTTCTTATAAATAGCCAATGTTGTACTGCTGTGGTTGTGGGGTTGGTGGAAGGAAAGCAATTAGCTGCCTTTCACCTGGGTTCTAGTGTGAAACAAGATTGATTTGTTTTTTTAATAAAGTTAATTAGCACCAGCTACCTTAGCTTAGAGTTAGGTTAGCTAGTTAGCTAACTGCGTTAGTCTTAAAGGCGTTGACGGCCCCCCACAGCCCCCAACCCTTACCCTAACCATCACAGTCTGTAAATGCATGCATGTTGAACGGTGAACCCTACAGCTATTCAACTTCTGGGACTCTCGTTTCATAGAAAAAAATATAAATTAACACTGGCCATCAAGGATGCTCTTCACTCTTTCAGTGACAGAATCTCTTTTTTCTATATGTGGCGAACCTGTTGTGTTTGTTATGAATATTTTACCGACAGTGGTCAGATACAGGAAATATGTTACTGTATGATATAATGTATATGGGAATGTTTTAAAACTTAAATTATAATACAATATTGTTAATAGCTATTGTTCTTTTAAAGGTTCAGTGTGTAATATTTCTGAGGATCTATTGACAGAAATGCAATATAATATCCGTAACTATGTTTTCAGTGGTGTGTAAAGAACTTACATAATGAACCATTATGTTTTTATTACCTTAGAATGAGCCATTTCTGTCTACATAACCACGGCCCCCCCCACACCGGCCCGTCTGGCACCAACAACCATGCCACGCTCAAAATTGCTTAAATCACCTTTCTTTCACATTCTGACATTCAGTTTGGAGTTCAGGAGATTGTCTTGACCAGGACCACACCCCTAAATGCATTGAAGCAACTGCCATGTGATTGGTTGATTACATAATTGCATTAATGAGAAATTGAACAGGTGTATGGCATATTTCAACATCAAGGTAATTCAAAGTGCTTTACATAAAACATAAAAGGAACAGGGAAATATAAAAAGTTTTAAAAGTTAAAACAGGCAGGTCTCCCACCTTTGCTTATTTTACTCCTTTGATTCCCCATCTCCCACTCTATCCCCCCTTTAGTTACTTAGGGACTCTAATCTTAAGGGGACTCTAACCCTTCTTTAGATACAGTCATCACTGTAAACCCAGATTTCCACGCTACAAACTCTGGTAAAAGCAATTGACAGCGGGCCCAGTCAACAAGTTAACAACGGAGAAACCGGGGACTCTAACCCTTGTAATTTCGCTTGGCCCTGTTAACTGAGAATCAGCTGTGTGAGATGGTAGAATCAAAAGAGCAATCTAATTTGCAACTCTCACCACTAGATGCCACTAAAGCTTAAACACTGAACCTTTAAATTTTAATTTTATTTAAAATCCGTTACTCAGACCTGTTTAACTGACAATGTTGAGCACATTTTGAATGGAGAGTTCTTATTTTATGGATTTAATATGATTTTGTCAGACTGTATTTTTTTTATTTTTTCTATCCTGGTAGGATCATGTCTATGAGGAGATACAGCAGCACATCCAGACACCAGACCCAGGAAATAAGATAGACACGATTTATGCCACTGCCACCTTTCCCACAAACCCGTCTGCCTCGCTGCATTACTCTACCATCAACTTCCAAAGCAGCTCTGACAGAGTTAGTGGTGAGGCAGTGACCTTCAAACCCAGCTCTGTTGCCTGCAAATATTCTCTTTTGAAGCAAAATCCAGCCTACTGTACTGTCGACCTGCCGTCCAGCTCTTCAGAGGATCCTGTCTACGCAACAGTCAACAAGCCACAGCAGCACTGAGCAAAGATCAGCACTGTTAGGAATTTATGACATTTACTACATGGCCAAAATTTCAGGTCATTCATTTCTGATGTAGTTGTTTACAATGAATCCAGCTCAGACTTCATGAACTTCACCAAGATATTCAGATGTTGGACCTTGTTGACTTAACATCTCATCTCTTTCATTTCTCTGCTGATGATACCTTGCTTTAACTTTAACAGGATACTATCTGTGTATCTGACCACATTCAAACTTGAAAACCAATGTTTCTTTCTTAGTTTTTGCCTTCGTTCTGATTTCTCTTGTTGTATTTGCTAGTGTCATGTAACTGTGTTCATTACTGCACCTATTTATTTGTGTTGGGAAATGTTGCCTGGTTTCAAAGACTGAAGAAGAGATACCGGGATGTACTATATGTCAACCTGGGAAGTTGCTGTATACAGGCTGAGGAGTGACGTCTGGCATCAAACAGTGGCATGGGAGGTCCTAGTTTTTCTTCTACATATTTGTAGGATCCATTTTACTTTGTGCACTTTTTACTATGTATTGCTTAGTAGCCCCTGTTTATGATTACACTGTTCGCTATGCTTAATCTGATTTCGACTGTATAACTCTTAACTGATGCTGAATATATAATAACAATAAATGTGTTGTATCACAGTTAATGTGTCCACATGTCATCTTTCTTGCAGTTTTTTGTATAATTTATATTTGATAAATAAGAAAAAAATTCGCTGGGAAATTGTAGCACAAAATGTGTTAACTCCAATGTTATAACTCAAATTAAGCGAAAAAATATAATTGTGCTCAATTTTATTTTGATTTTCCCAACTCACATTTTAACACTTCACAGGAATATCAATGTTACAAATTACTCTCTCAGCTGCTTAGATCAATGTAACTTTTTTGATGTCACGGTTTTGAGTGGACAATTGCTGTTTCGGGGAGGGATTTAGGGAACAGGCAATTATCTTAGCTACCTTTTGAATAAAGGTATATGGTAAATGCCCCCAAAATGTAAAAAACATGTGCGCATACAACTCTTCAAAATCTGAAGAAGGTTAACAAAGGACAGTTTGTTATACATATGTTTTTGTACTTTTAACTTCAATATAAGTAGATTTTATAAGACAGCCAAATACTCTTCATTTAAAACATGTCTGATGAGTCATGTTTGCAATGCCTGATGGTTAACTTGCTATTGACTTCTGAGAGCATCAGTACCTTGGTAGTGCAGGTAGTTTTAAGTGGTTCTAGTAGTCCGAACAGCAGCAGGAAACAAAGAGGCCAGTCTAGCTAGCATCAGGAAAGTCAGCATCTACAAAACGTTTGTGAATTGGTGCTATATTAATAAAAATTAAATTTAATTGAATTAATTAAATTGAAAAAATAAAAAAACATCAAGTTTCCCAAAACAGAATAATATCAGGTCCCTGAAACTGAAGCAACTGAAGCAAATTCTCATGTATTTAATTATTTTCACCTGTGCTTTTCATAATTTGACATGGTAAAATGTCTATGTTCAAAATAGTATTTTTTCCACACATTAACTGAACTTTATTTTTTGGTGTATTCATTATTTAGTTACCTGTTTTCATTGTTTTTCAGAAGCAGAGTCAGAAATTGAAACTGGAGGCTAGCTTTCAAAATGTTAACATTTGTCTTTAAGGCAGATATACTGTGTTAACAAATCCATTAACAAACTTATCCCAGTACATCCGTCAAATGTTTAGCGAAATATTTAATGTTTTAGTTTTTTCAGTATCACCGGCATCATCCACATCTCCTCAACACAGACAACACTGGATGATGACGAGCCGTGTTGAATGTGTTTTAAACAAGTCTGGATTTTTAATTTGTGGTTTATCTTGCAGGTGGCTCTCTGGTCGTTACTGTGTTGGTCTGTGTAGCTGAGCTGCTGCTGTTTGTGCTAATTTTAAACATTTTCTACAAACATATTGCATATTAGACAGGCATCTTCACTGTCTGTTTTTAAGTCTCTTCTTAAAACCCACCTCTTTTCTCTGGCTTTTTGAAAACTGAAGTTGACATTTCTTGTTTTAGTTGTATTGATTTTATTGTTTTATTGCATGGTTATTTTATTGTATTGTTTTTATTTGTATTTTATGCATTGTGGGAGCTTTGTCTTTAGTGTTGTTTATGTATTCATTTATTGTTTTACTGTACAGCCCTTTGTGTCCACTTGGACTGTAAAGCGCTCTATAAATCAATTTCGATTGATTGATTGAGGAGTCACACAAGCACACACACATAAAACATGAGACATTATGTAAGAGCAAATAGACAGAAAGACGAAAAAGAAGAGAGAAGGGTATAAAACCAGACTGAACAACCTCAGTTTTAGTTCTGCATTTTTATTTCCTGTTAGGTGTCTTGCAAAATAATAAATGACTCTTAGCGGAACCGAACTCTGCCTTTTCGGGATTTCGGAGACAAATATTTTCCCCAGGAGGTGGATGACACCAAAAATAGACCTAAAGAAGGAACAGTATATGTTACTGGCCAAGATTTCAGTTCATTAATTTTTGATGTAGTTGTTAAATTTAAATCCAGCTCAGACATCAGGAACTTCACCAAGATATTCAGATGTTGGGCCCTGTCAATTCAATGTCGCACAGGATCTCACTCACTTCATCATCCACATTGTTTGAGTCAATAAATTTTTAACAGGACTTTGGCACCAATCTGCAATGACTAGATTAGTCTTTTATTTGTCTTTGCTCTTGAAGCTCAGCTTGTAGACAGTTTCAATCTATATTATAGCTAAGTATTATCTCATTACCTGATTTAACTTATCACAGATACTGTATATTGTTGACCTGGTCTAAATGAGAACCCTCTCCCAGAAATAAAAGAAATGTGCTTCCCCCACAATTCTATGAGATTTATAAATGAAAATACAGCCTTCCTGTGTTACCAATGAACTTGTGCTTGTGATTGGTTGAATCATGGAAGGTGCAACACAAGGTGATATATATATATATATATATATATATATATATATATACAGTGAGGAAAATAAGTATTTGAACTCCCTGCTATTTTGCAAGTTCTCCCACTTAGAAATCATGGAGGGGTCTGAAATTGTCATCGTAGGTGCATGTCCACTGTGAGAGACATAATCTAAAAAAATAAATCCAGAAATCACAATGTATGATTTTTAACTATTTATTTGTATGAGACAGCTGCAAATAAGTATTTGAACACCTGTCTATCAGCTAGATATTCACACTATTCGTCATTGAACAGGGGAGGGGGTCTACGCCACCACTTATCCCCCACTTACAATGCTGTCCTTTCATCACTTCCCAGGAAACTCAACAAACGTAACCCATTGGCCTCAGGTGAAGATACCAACGATGGTCGTTCAGTCTTGGCCACAGGTAGTCTTAACGACTGTAACGACTGTCGTCACAGCAACAAGGAACACTAACGAACCAGCGGTATCGATGACCCGGGCCAACGACCCCACTGAGGTTAAATAGCTGAGTTTCCCTGCCAGTCAGTCAGAACTGAAGAAGTCCTTTGGATAAGGGACGAAACGTCTTCCAGTATCTTCAACCAAGTCCAGTTGCCCTTGATTTTAACCTTCGTTGGATAACTATGACCTGGATCACTGAGAATCTTCATAGACAACTTTTTGGTCATAATTCCACTAACTGTGTTTTGAGGAAGAAGAATGATGAGTACCATCCCAAGAACACCATCCCTACTGTGAAGCATGGGGGTGGTAGCATCATGCTTTGGGGCTGTTTTTCTGCACATGGGACAGGGCGACTGCACTGTATTAAAGAGAGGATGACCGGGGCCATGTATTGTGAGATTTTGGGGAACAACCTCCTTCCCTCAGTTAGAGCATTGAAGATGGGTCGAGGCTGGGTCTTCCAACATGACAATGACCCGAAGCACACAGCCAGGATAACCAAGGAGTGGCTCTGTAAGAAGCATATCAAGGTTCTGGCGTGGCCTAGCCAGTCTCCAGACCTAAACCCAATAGAAACTTTGGAGGGCGCTCAAACTCCGTGTTTCTCAGCAACAGCCCAGAAACCTGACTGATCTAGAGAAGATCTGTGTGGAGGAGTGGGCCAAAATCCTCCTGCAGTGTGTGCAAACCTGGTGAAAAACTACAGGAAACGTTTGACCTCTGTAATTGCAAACAAAGGCTACTGTACCAAATATTAACATGATTTTCTCAGGTGTTCAAATACTTATTTGCAGCTGTATCATACAAATAAATAGTTAAAAATCATACATTGTGATTTCTGGATTTTTTTATTTATTTTTTTAGATTTTGTCTCTCAGTGGACAGGCACCTACGATGACAATTTCAGACCCTCCATGATTTCTAAGTGGGAGAAGTTGCAAAATAGCAGGGAGTTCAAATACTTATTTTCCTCACTGTGTGTATATATATGTGTGTGTGTGTATATGTATGTGTACTATTCCCTTCTAACGTAGTATTCAACATAATGATAAGGGTCTGCACTGCCAGAATTCTACTAGAAGTAGAACAAGAACAATGTAGTGATGAAACATGCTCTGTTGTGCTGTTTGTTCATTTTCAACTACTGTAGAAACAAGACGATGCAACGTGGCGACGTCCAGGGAAGGGGGACCCGCAGTTATGTAGATATAAATGACTCATTATAAGTTAATAAAAACATGATGGTTTATTATGCAAGGTCTTCATACACGACTGAAAACATAGTTATGGAGCCTATATTTCATTTCTGTCAATAGATCCTCAGAAATGTTACACACTGAACCTTTAACTTTAACATTCTGAATATCTAGATACATTCATTTTCTATTTAAATCGCCCAATAAGCACAGTTTCCTGTGGTTTAGTGATGTCTGCAATGATGTATGCAATAACAGTGATAGAAAAACATGAGGGGTGGATCTTTCTGTAAGTGACCTGAAATACAATGACACTACTGCTAAGTTTTTCTGCTGTTTGGTGCTTTGCATTTGGGTTTTGTGTAGGTTGTTGAGATTTTTGCTGAAAATATCTGCCTTCCACTGGCAACAGTGCACAGTAAAGTTGCAAACCAAAACAACGAGCTGAAAGATGCTAAAATGCTCCAAATACCTGAGAGGAATTGCAGAGTCAAGCAATAATTCTCTGCAAACCCTTTTTCTTAATCCACTGTTAATATAAAAATATTGATTCTATGCACTTTATGTGTTGTTCTAATGCATTTCTTTGCCAAATCGACCACTGGAGAGCATAATCTGACTGAGGATGTTCAATCTGACCGAGATGCTTTTCTAATCCAGTTTTGTTGAATGACTAATTATTATCGAACAAGGAGACACTATAACACAAAGTCTGTGTTAAAACAATGCAGGTGGCTGTGATGATGGCTGTGTGTTGTTTAAAATGACAATGAGACATCAACGATCCAGCCCAGTTTGACAGTCCATTAGGTTAAAGGATCACAGTATCTAACAAAGATCTGAAAAATGATCACAGCATCAATAGTTTTATTTTTGGTTGTACTGATTGTGAGATAAACAGCAGAAATACAGCGATCCAGTTACAAAGAAATGTCTGCTTGCTTATGTTTCATTTGCCAACTCAGCTCCTTACCCGAAGACTTCCTTTTGCAGTCTGGCAAAAGCTGTTCCAGGTTTATCTTTTTGCCAGAGTACTCTGAAGGTGTTTTTTTTTTTCTCTGTCAACAAAAAACTCAATAAACCAAAGCAAAGCAGATACTGACACATCATAATTCAGTCAAATGAAGTCAACCAAAGCTGATTATACATGAGAACCTGTTTATGAATATAATATAATTCCAGCATTCATCAGCAGTAATTTCATGAGGGTTTGTGGTATGGGTGGAGACTTAAATGGTGTTGTGGTTAGCAGCCTTTCGGTTTTAAATAGCTCTTCTGGTAAAGGGTGAGAATGTTTCACTTCCAGAGATAGATGTAGGAAAAAGAAATGGCAAGAAAATGTTTCAACATGGGCATCATCCATGTAGTCACAGTCATCACAACTGTTGTTCTCACATTTCTCTGTGTAGGCTTGTTAGATTATAACAGCTTCTGGCTTAAACACAGCTACTGATCTCCTGCCATTAACACTGCCGAACACTATCTGACTATTAAAAAGTACTTATTTTCTTACTTACTGCTCTTTCCTGTCACACAGCATCACACACAGAGGTCTTTGGGAGGTGGGAAGGTGCCCTCTAGTTTTTGTTAGAATTAATACATAATAAATTAAAGTGGCTATGAACAATATTTATTTGACAGTGTGAAAGGTGTTGCTCACAGTGATGAACCTGCAGAGAATTATCAGCTTTTTATAATCAGATTTAAAATTAATTTCAGGTCAGTGTTTAGCTATCTTTTTTTGTTATGGCTGAAGCTGTTTTTAATTAAAAAGCTGTAAATATCTACTCTACCTGCTCAGCAGCAGACAGCAGACCGATATAGTGGAGCATTTTGCAGATGAAAAGTCAGATATTTCCCTCAGGAGCTGGTGGAGACCAAACACAGAGCTGAAAGAGAGGATTTTGGAGGTCACACAAACACAACTCCAAATGAATTACGGTGTTTCTCTGTAACGGCTGGATTTGCAAAAAAGTAATTGTTCAGCATATCAACTTAAAAGTGGTGATATGTCAGTATTATTTTTACAGTTTGCTTCTGCTGCCCCTGTAACAGGTTTAACTAATATCCAATATACAGTAGTTGTGATAGCCTCTAGTTTTATGTAAAAAACCTAACTTTAATGGAATAATGTTCCCTCAGTCACCTGTTTTACATTGAGGAAATGTGCAGATACACAATCTATTATGTAGTACATCATTCACAGTTTGTTAACATTTCTCGCGGAAATATAATATTTTATTGTTTGTCAGGGCACAGTACAAGTTCTTTGTCTCTCTCTCTTTACAGTGATTTCCTTTTGTAATGAAGTAATGTCTAAAGGGGAAACAGATGTGGCTAACACTTAAAGAAGGATAGAAAACTGGGCGGTAGTTTTTGGGTATATAAGACTACTTCAGGAAATGCAGCTGTCAACATAGTGGAGACGAACCAACTAACTGTGGTAAAATAATCTCAGAGGATCTCAGCGTCCAACAAAATGAAGACAATTCTTCTCCTCTTCCTCCCACTGATAACAGGTAAAGCGTTTTGTGCTATTGGACTACTGATTTTAGAGATTACACTTGTAATATCAGCCCTGCTTCTAAAATAATTAATTGGTTGGGTTTTTCAAATATTCTGTTTAATAAATGTATCAAACAAGGTAGTCAACTATCTTTATTTGAATATGTGCATGAAGTGCCTGGTATTGTAACTTAAATTGTAAAGTAATAAAGCAAGAATCCTCCACTGGAGAGACGGCAATTTGTTTAGCTGAATCTTTAAAAGCCACACAAACACGCACACATGTTTAGACTTAGACTACGCAGTAACTGAAGGGAAAATGTATGACATGTACATCGCTGGGAACATTGCACTGTTCTGACTTTCCCCTGCAGTATGTAGATTATAGTTTGTCCACCAGAGAGCACTGATTTCACTATAAAATGTTCCACATAGAACATCTTGGCGGCAATTCTTTAAAAACAAATTGAAGGGGAAAAACCAGGAGCACAAGAAGTCTGTAAACAAAGAACAAAGCGCCAAATCTCTGTCCATTAAGTCACACTAAGGATGAATTTAACAAAATGGTGTCCGCTTAATCAAATATAAACCAGTCGTCACCCAGCACAACACAGACTCCATTTAAGGATAAAAACCAACAACAAAGTTTTATGTGCTGAAGCCCATCAGGACAAACCAGAATCAGATCGACTTGAAACACAGTCAACAGCAGAAAGGCTTGAATTAAAGAGGCTTTGGCTTTGTTTTGGAACCGACAAAACTGACAGAGTTTGGGCTTTTATCTTAGGTTAAGTGTGTTCGTTTTAGCGAAATCTAGGTGGTGATGGCTGCTAACTGTAATACATTTCTACAATGGCCAACACAGGACAAAAGATGTCATCTCTGAGACAGCAGAGACTTGCCAGTCAAGAAGAGTAACAGTACATGAAATTACAATCCAATTACATATTTTACAACGAAGGGGTCACGTATTTTACACCACATATCAACCTCTTGCGCTCACCTCTTAGGGTTGTTTCTGCAGCAGATTGGCCTTCTTACTGTGTGAAATGTGAATTCAAGTTGCTCTTTCTTCTATTTTAACAGCTGTTGCTGTGGTGTTGTTAGCAGCACTTGATTTGGTCCCTACCAAAGTGGATGATGCCAGTGTTTTCTCTTTCACTAACACCCAATCACTAGGCTGGACCAGGATCGTTGATGGCATGTCAGCCATCACCTGTGGAGGAGACAGTCTTGAGAGCATCATGTCGTTTCAACAGTTTAGCCATATAATCTGCTTGTGTAGCTTCTGCTTCATCTTCGTGTCTATGAAGTGGCTTCAACTGTGTGATCATATAAGGTTTCCCATATAAGATCTCAAAAGGTGAAAAACCTCTGTCTGTCTTAAGGTCATGCATGCTTAACAATACCAGAGGATGGTATTGTTTAAAATGTCATCCAGCTCTTTCCTGTCTCATCCATTGCTTTCTTAAGCTTCAGTTTAATTTACCCATTTGTTCTTTCCACAGTTTATGCTGATTGTTGTTGATGCACAGTGATTCTTTAAGCATATTCCCAAGGTTGCTCAAAGTTGTTTAATCACTTAATTTACAATATGTGCACCATTATCACTGTACAGTATTTGTGGTATTACAAACATTAGAAAAATATCCCAGTCAGTGCATCTGCTTTAGCTGTTGGAAAAATCTCAACCCACATTGAAAACACATCAACAATTACCAGACAATACGTGTTGCATTTGCATGATGATTAATCTATAAAATCCATTGTTAATGTCTGAAAAGGTTGGTCTGGTTCTGGAAACTTGCCTGTCTGTCTTTATTTCCATTTCCTTTTCTCTTCTGGAGGTGCTTGTGTCTGCATTTTCTTTAGTGTCCAATTCACAGCTGGTGTCTGTCATGAAAGAGTAAATTGAATTAGTTAGATGAAGTTCTGCAGCTCTGTTTGCTTCTTCATCTGCTCTGTGATTTAATCTTGAAACGTCATCTTTTGCATGTGTGTGTGCTGCACATTTACAAATAGCAAGCTTAGACGGTAATTAAATAGCATCTAAGAGATTTAAAATGCCAAATTAAACTGAGATCTCAGTGTGTTATTGGCTTCCCTATAGATGTTACTATGCCTCTGTTAGCCCACTGCCTGGCAAATGTGTGACACATGGAAAATGCATCTGTCTGTCTGTATAAACTACTAGAGTTTTATCTTTTGCTAGTTTACAGGTTTCAGTCAGTGCAACGAGTTCAGCTGCTTGTGCAGAGTAGTGTGATAGTAATGGTTTAGTTATCACTGTCTGTTATTGTCACGACAGCAAATCCTGATCCCACCGTTTGTCCCATCTGTATGCTTTTTACATGAACCATCAACAAACAACACGAAATCTGGTTCTGCAAAAGGTGTCAGTCATGTCAGGTCTTGCTGAAACACACTATTAGTTATTGCCACACAATCATGTGGTTCACAATCTCCTCCAGTAGGGAGCAGTGTAGCTGGATTAAGAGTCACACATCTCTCAGTGATTATGTGTGGTTCAGTCAAGACTTTCATCAAAGAAATTATATTGTGGCATTGTAGTTTTGTTTGTCGGTGTGGCTCTGTTCTGGGATCTCCTTGCTCTTCTACACACCTACGTGAAGAGCCATGAGGGAGAGCAGCTCCCTGCCCAACCATGTGAATACATGGGAAGCCTGAGGCAGAGAGAAGCAGTAAAGAACCCCTGTACAGAACAGAGCAGGCATATGCAGAATTACATAATTAATTAGATACTAGATGGGCACTGAAAGGTGGTGTTAAACGGGCCCGGGGCTAAATAGCTGTTTATTATAAGGCTGCAGCCTCTGCTGCCTCTTGCATACATACACCACTTGCTGCTAATATTATTTTTGTCCCTTTTCAACAAATTGATATGAACAGATCATTTTACATAGCCTATTCACAATTAAGCAAGTGCAGGAGTGTGTGCCTTCCGGCATTTGGTCCACATCAACCTATAGACACATATTTTCATTTCCGCTGTATCTCCAGGCAGAGGAAATTCTTGCGTTTCTCATTCAGGGGAATCCGATCTCACGTTTTCTGATGGACTCTTTTGAATTTCCTTCAGAACTTTTCAAAGTAAAAGCTCTCAGTTAAACACAACCTACTGCTGCAAAATCGTTCTCACGTTTTTATTTTGTTGGCACAATCACTTAAGAAGAAGTGATTATGTGAGTGACTTTCGCTATCATGATTTTGATCTGTTTCAGCACCAGCTGCTATAATTAAAAAAAAATAAATGCTGTGCCGCTATCAAATTAATCTGGCCATGAGCCAGATATAATTGCTGGCAGGCCAGCTTTGGCCCGCGGGCTGCCTACCACTGCTCTATGTTATAAAAGCACACTGCACTAATGCTAGGCTGTTATTTAGATGTTCAACAAACTAAATGAAAGCATTCTGTCTAGTCTAAGTGTCTAGTCTAATTGCTTTGACTGATTGCCATGTAGCTTCAAACTGGCACATTGTTACCTGCAGTGAATCACAGCAGAGACAGAAGGAAGGAGGACAGGAGAAAGGACTAATGCCATATGCAGTGCGCTGTCTTTGGCTTTGGTACCTTTAGAATTGCCTGTTTTCTTGCATCATCAAGCTTTCTTCCTTCAGTTGAAATGTTATGACCTAGATACGTGACCTGGGGTCGACAAAACTGCAATTTAGCTTTACTAGCTTTATGGCCTTCCTGAGCTAGAAACTGTAACAATATAGTGTCCTGTTAACACTGTTATTTTGTTTCTGACCATAAAAGGATGTAGTCCAAATAAAGCAGAAACTTACTGCCTCTTGGCAGTAAGTGATTGGAATTTAGCCAGGTTTTGTTTGGTGATTTGGACAGAAAAGCTCAGTAAATCTGCACATGTACACCTACATAGCCATCTTTGTCGCAGGATAAATCTGTCAGTCTCAAAGAGGTGCTTGATATTTAGAAAAATAGTTTTTAGTGTATTTGGGTGTACCTGTAGTACACAGTGCAATGGAGCTCATCTGAATCTTAAAGAATGGCTTTTGGGCTTACTACATTTTTAGCTTTGTCCATTAAAGATTTTACAACATTCTGTGGTCCTTTGTGGATCCAACCAAGGGAAAAGTAATAGTTTATTATAATGTGTTCCAAGAAAGCAATAAAACCTTCATCGCCATCTCACTATTTTGAAACCATTTTTACTTGGAATAACTCCAATTCCCAAGGTTGATATAACATCTCTATCAAGCAAATCAGCTGAACAACTGATTGAGACAATGATCTGTTATTCAGTTTAACGTCCTTATTCACAGTCAACAAAATGTACTGCAGCTGAAACATGTTCTGCCAAAGCATTACCAGTAGCTGAGCTTATCAAAATGGTATCATTTGACATTTTTAGACCCTGGGAGTGTTTTTAATCTTAAAACTGGTCTATCACAATGAAACTTTACCAGTCACCCTCCCAGAATTACATTTACATATGCACTGCTAATACATAACACAAATTCACTTCATCTCCATTTTGATTGTCTGATTGCTTTTTGTGCGTTTCTACCTGATTCTGCCAGGTCCATAGTCAGTCATGCCTGGTCATCATGTCCACCTCCTTTCCGTCCAGGCTATGCACAATTTTCATATGTTATTTCATCACTAAAGCTGAGCTGGGACCAGCAATGGAAAAAGGGCTTACGTGACCTTTGAGGTGGTATAGGGCCCCGTGGCCAGAAGAGTGCCCCCTACACTCACTGCTCGCTAGTGGTGGAAAAAAATCAATACAATACAATAAAATGATGAAAGGGAGCTCTCTACATTACACATCATAATAAGCATAGTGGTTATTTAATTTTGTCATTTATTTTGGAACATCAGCTGCCCTGATTGTTCCGCTCGCTCGGATCTCCCGTGACATCTGACCCTGACTGACCCTGTGACGTCACGCTGGGTCAGCTTGATTTATTTGTCACAACAGGTTGTAATGAAATTTAGTTTGTAACTCTCTTCTGCTACGTAGCAGATAATATACATATATAAGCAAATAAACTATAATCAGTGGAGCAGTGCTGAGGATGACTTTGAGCTTAAGAGCCTGATAGCTTGGGGGTAAAACCTCTTTGCAGTCTGGTGGTGCAGCAGAGAGCTGAGTTTGTTGATCAGCTTCGTGAGGGAGATTGCGTTGAATGCTGAGCTGAAATCCACAAACAGCATTCTGATGTAGGTGTTTTTCTCAAGGTGTGTGAAGGCTGAGAAAAGGGCAGTGGAGATGTCTGGAGTAAGTCCTTATAAATCCTTTCTGGCACAGAAATATTAAGCTTCAGCACACACAAACACAAAGCCACACACGTGCACAACTATGCTGAGAAATAGGTGCATGTACTCCAAGACTTTGTTTCACATCGTAACACACACACAGAAACGAACCACAGTGTTCAAACATGTTTGAAACCATTATTGTGCTTCCTCTTTTGTTTTCACTTAAATTACATGCACACACACCTCCTGGCATTTTCCCTTTTCACACACTCTTGTTTTAGTACAACAGATGTCAAACATACAGTAAGTGTTACAAATTTGTGAATGACAGATTATAGTAGTATATTAAGTGGAAATCTGGTGCATTTAGAAAAACACAATAATCCATTAGAGAATATGTACATTTAAATGTAAAAATGCTTATAAGTAAAGTGGTAACAATGGTGATGTGAATGGTTGTCATTTTAAGAGCATTGTATAAATGTCCATCAAATCTTCTTCATCTTCAAATCTCCTGTACTTATTGACATGTGCATGTACACACTCAAACAGCAACATTGGGAGTTTGAACTTTTTTACACATCTTTCCGAACAGCAGGCCTCAGATTTACAAGAACCCCAGAAGACCAAACAGGAGTCGATGGGGGAGTGGCCTCCTTTGTGTGCCAGGCCACAGGGGATCCACCACCCAACATCGTCTGGAACAAGAATGGCAAAAAAATCCTAAACGAGAGATTTGAGGTATGATGCTGAGATGCTAATGAAGGTAGTGTAATTTTGTGTGTTTTCTATGATAGGATTGATTTCTTCTCATGCTAAAATGCTCTAAACTGAACTGGTTACCATCCCACAACAGAGCTACAACAGATGTTCATTGGCTGTGCGGATCGGTTCTGTAAAACAGTGGCTGCTGCAAAAATAAGAATGACTGTTGTTCCCATTAGTTTCTTTGTTTTTTAATATAACTTTCTCACAGCAGACATTTTTGACTTTGCAAGCATACGCGTAACACATGCTGTAGAACTGCTAATGGACAGTTAATTATTAGTATTGACAGAAAAATAATTGGCAACTGTTTAATTAATTGTTTAAAGGAAAAGTTTTGGGAAACACAATTATGCTTTCTTGCCAAGAGTTAGATGTGGAGATATATACTGTCACTCTCATGTCTGTCCTTTAAATACAGCCAATATACTGCCAAAAGTTTGGGGGCACCTGCCTTTACATGCACATGAAGGTTAATGACATCCCATTCTTAATCCGTAAGGTTTAATCTGGAGTTGCCCACCCTTTGAAGCTATAACAGTTTCAACTCTTCTGGGAAGGCTGTCCACAAAGTTTACAGTTAGGTTAGCCAGATTCAAAACCCCGGCTCATTCAAAGCCGGGGTTGCTGACTCATTCAAAGTTACTAAATGGAATAGTGCCATCATTAATGGTGTCAGATACACCTGTGCTTTTCCTTTAAAGAGAAGGGCACGCTGTGAGAACGATGTTAGGGTTTTAGGTTTTTCTTGTCCTGTCCTGTCAGTCAGGAGTCGATGTGGGATTTCTTTTTATTGGTTTTCAGTCAGCGAAAACCTTCTCATAATACAGAATCCCAATCTACATGCATAACCGTATGCTAGCACATTTAAAATCTACAGTCCAGTATTTCTGATAAACGCATTGTTACATATACTGAATATGAAAAGGACATAAGAGATAATATAATGTATTCTTAACTAACTCTCTTCTCCGTTCTTTCAATTCATTTCAAAATTACTTATAATGAGTGCATTGCTTGTCTGGTGCCACCTGAAGTCCATTATAATGTGTGTAGCGATTGATCCTAGACTGTTGATCATTGATCTTCACAGGCTCTGTCCACTCGGCTTCTCTCTGCAGACAGAAATTCATTATTGAGTTGCAAAGTTGATGGTAACATCAAAACCAAACCAAAAAGATGTAAACACAACATATTATCAGCTTTTAAATTGTAATGGTAAATAGTTGCCTATACAAACAGCAGACACAGAGCATCATTAGTATTCTTTTGAAGTTGTGTTTGATGAATGTCATTTCAATGTTCACTCTCTTTTAGCTCCTCCGGAGGGAAATATTTGGCTCTTTAACTGCTAAATGTTCCACTGTGTTCACCAGATAGTCGCTAATTTTCCATAAAACCTGCTAGGGCATAAACAACCAAGCGATGAACCAAAACAGTGAGCTTTAATTCTCTGTAGGTTCGTCGCTGCAAGTGACACCTTTTACTTTACGCATTTTGACCCATTGTTAATCTATTATACTGACTAAAGCCGCTGTCTTTTCCCTCTTACAGGCAACGGAGTTTGACAACGGGTCCGGCTCGATCCTGAGGATCCAGCCACTGAGGACTACCAGAGACAAGGGTATTTACGAATGTCACGCCTCCAACTCTGCAGGAGAAATCACCGCCTCCGCCAGACTAAGTGTGCTACGAGGTCAGTGTGAACACACATGCAAGCTTTGTTTCCATTCAGCTTGCTGTGAAGAAAATTGAAAATCATTATACTTGGAATCCACATAAAAAATGCCGTCTTTACACAACACTTTGCTTATTTCGTAAATGCGTTTTGTGTGTATCACCTGACTGTGACTGTAACTGACAAAGCAGACACACTCTATTGGTTCTGCGCAAAATTGAATAATGAATTCTAAAGTAGTGTATTGCACACTTTTAATTGAAATGTACTGCTATGTACACAAGAGTGTAATAACATGTGGTTTGCAAACACTTCAAACAAATAAGGTGCTTTTTACCAGCAGTATTCCCTTTACACAGTAACAATAAAATATTTCTTATCAATCTCAATTTTACATTAATGTAATCAAAACAAATAACTATTAACTACTATTTAATAGGGCACAATCCATAATTAAAGCTGCAAGCAGTATTGGGCGGGCCCTCATGTGAAGCACGTCGATGAGTGCCGCAGCTCTGCCTTAGTGGGTCTGAATTTTACGTGAAAAGGACTTAAAAGTCTCTTCCTGTGTCCCCTATGTAGCACTAGAGAGCACCTGGTAACTATAAATTATGTCTCAGTATGTCAAGTGTGGAACACATTGTGAAAATTTATATGAAAATCACATGATGATCGTCACACAGAGCTTACTTCCTGTTGCCAGTAGGTGGCGCTGCGACTATAACTGAGTATTTGCTTGTAGCTGTGCAGTATGTACAGTGAAGTTAAAATACTGTTTCGTGGGGAATCATTGATTTTGTAAAATGGGCCGATGGGTGCTGTGGGATTCAAAAAAGGAATATAACAAAAAGATCCTCAAAAGGAGGATTAACAACTCTAACTACACGGGAAAATATATAAGGGTAAATCAAAACCTCTCTAACTAAATTACTATGAAAACCAAAAGGCCATTTGAGAGTTTGTGAAAAAATGTTGCAAAAAATGTGCAGAGATGTCAAAATATAAAGTTAAAACTGCTGGTTAAATGGTAAATATATAAATATACCTAGTGTCTGCTCTACAAGTAGTAGTAGTAGTAGTAGTAGTCGTAGTAGTAGTAGTAGTAGCATGAATGTAACTAAACCCGCTGAAAAATGTGACAAAGCATAAACAATGAGAGTTTTAGTATCAGTCTTTTATTTACTATAACAACAAAAGTTACTGTAACAGCTACTTTTGAATAGTGTTAAAAAACATCTTGTATGAAATCATTCAAATTAACACAATTGAAACATCTGTTGGGATGGGAACCACCGCACTACACTACCAAGCTGAATATGTGAGTAATGTCCAGCTCTGTTTGACTCATCTTTAATCTTTCCAGAGCACCAGTTGCCCTCTGGGTTTCCCTCCATAGACATGGGTCCCCAGCTGAAAGTTGTTCAGCATTCTCAGACCGCCACCATGATCTGCGCTGCTAGCGGCAACCCTAACCCAGAAATTACCTGGTTCAAGGATTTCCTGCCAGTCAATACGTCAAGTAACAACGGACGAATCAAGCAGCTCCGCTCAGGTAACCGATGCTTTTATCCCTCCAGTCCCTTAAATCCTAGTTTTTATTTCTACCTTAAGGTTTTTTGTCCTCCCACTTTGCTTGTATCCCTTGTTCAATATACACTCTGTCTTATCCTCCTTCTGCTCACGCCCACAACCTAATTTTTATTTTCCGTTCCTACAAAGTTTCTGTTGTTCTTGCCCTCATTCACCCCTTTTCTTATGCTGCTTCGCACTCCTGCTGCCGTTGTTACTCCCTCAGTTATTTGTTTCAGCATTGCATGAAGACTACGTTCTCAGTAGCGTTGTAGTACTCGAGACCCGTTTTGGTCTTAAAACCAGTTTGATGGTCTTGATTTTGCTGTCTTTCCATGTTTTTGCGTTTTACTTTGGTAGATCTGTCCTTGTGTGTTCCTGTGAACTTTACTTCCTGTTTATTTTGGTCATCTCCTGTACCTGGTGTGCTTGTCCAGCTTTGTCTGATTACCTGATGTATCTCAGCTGTGCTTCCCTCCCTGCTCGTTTACCTGTGTATATATTGTCCTCAGTTTTGTCTTTGTCATGTCCTTGTATTGTCTGCGTTGAAGTTGAGTGTCCTGCCTTGTACCTTGTTTCCTGGTATTCTGGATTATTCCCTGAGTTTTGTGGATTTGTGCCTTGGATTCCCTTTTGTTCTTGTTTTTGGATTTCTTTCCCCCCGGATTTATGTTTTTGCTTTGGAGCCACTTTCTGTTTGAACTTGAGCCGCTGAGCTCCCAGCATTAGCCTGTTTGTCTTTTTGTAAATAAATCTTTGTTTAAACTGCATCCTCCTTGCCTACGTTTGCATTTGGGTCCACACCTCCGCCTTCACTCCGCCAATCCTGACAATATCAATAAATTGCTTTTGCATTGTCTGATTTACTTTGATTGGATATAAAATGTATTTCTTCAAATGCAACCAATAACCCTAATTGAAAATATGCTGTTTCCGTTAACGACTGTCACCCCTACCCCCGATAATAAGCATAGAAAAGGAGTGTTTGAGACATCCACATTTTATTGTGTGCCATGTAATGTGGGGAACTGGTCCTGGTCTCGACTTGGTTTCAGCCCCTAAAAGTCTTGGTCTTGTCTCTGTCTCGATAAACTCTTGTCTTTGTCTTGACTTGGTCTCGGTTTGGGCGGTCTTGACTGCAACACTAATTCTCATTTTTTGTAGGCTTTTTATCAGTGCTTTTATTGTTTGTTTTTGTTTTCTTCCCATTTCTGAATCAGGAAGCCGACCCTTGTTTTAGCTCACTGTTTAGCCTTGTGTTTCTCAGAGTTCAGCTTGTTTTTGCTGAAAACTCCCTCAGATTAATTTCTTCTTACCTATGTTGATGTATTTATAGACTATACCAATTATCTGACATCTTCCACGTCTGTGTAATTGCTCTTTCTTCCTCACTATCTTTCTATGTGACTGACTCTCCTCTCTATATCTTCTACTTCTCCTCTCCATCCCTCCATCCATCCAGGTGCCCTCCAGATAGAGATGAGTGAGGAGTCAGACCAGGGGAAGTATGAGTGCGTTGCCACCAACAGAGAGGGGACACGCTACTCCAGCCCAGCTAACCTCTATGTCAGAGGTAAGATGGGGGTTAAAAACCAGCCTGTCCTGTGGGAACCAGAGTCCAATGGATGTGACAATGGATGTGTAGATTGCGACATCTATTCCAAGAAAATATTCATACGTTTTTTTACAAAGACATCTTCTGCTAGGAATGTGTGTTTATCAATCAATGTGATGAAACTTACATTGGTTTTATAATTCTTAGCTGTATAGACATAAAACAGGATGGTTTTAAAACGAGAGCTCCCAACACCATGAATAAAACATTTTGATATCACATGCGCCCTAGTGGTCTTATAATAAATTATAATCATACAGACCCTGGTTGTCATTCACTGCCCTGCAACTCGGTGAACAACACAGTCACGAATTTATAATGACCTCACTTTTCTCCGTGTTTTCATTGCTATCTGGTCCAGTGCGTCGTGTCCCCCCTCGCATCTCCATCCCACCAGCAAACAGCGAGATCAAGCCAGGGGGGAACATCAACATCTCCTGTGTGGCTGTGGGCTCCCCTATGCCGTACGTGAAGTGGATGCTGGGAGCAGAGAACCTGACGTCTGAGGATGACATGCCCATAGGCCGCAACGTCCTGGAGCTGACTGACGTACGCCAGTCAAACAATTACACGTGTGTCGCTATGTCATCACTTGGTGTGATTAAGGCGGTGGCACAGATTATTGTGAAAGGTGGGTTTATTAGCATGTATATGAGGAGGCTTATGAGTGCGGGAAGTGATGGTTTGACCTTTCCCTCGGTGAGACTTTGGTTCTGACTTTATTCATAAGATCATTTTAAGGAGGACAAAACCAGTAGAGCCAGTTGAGGTGGTTCGGGCATCTGGTAAGGATGCCCCCTGGACGGCTCCCTAGGGAGGTGTTCCAGGCACGTCCGGTTGGGAGGAGACCTCGGGAAGACCCAGGTGGAGGGATTATATCTCCACACTGGCCTGGGAACGCCTCGGAATCCCCCAGTCGGAGCTGGTTAATGTGACTAAGGAAACGGAGGTTTGGGGTCTGCTGTTCTAACTGCTGCCCCAGCGACCCGACCCCGGATAAGCAGTTGAAGATGGATGGATGGAAAACCACAGCATAGAATTCTTCTCTCTGGGAATGAGCACTGGGACTATGTCTAGTACACTAAAAAGAAAATTTACATCACAAAAGAAATATGATGTAAGACTAGTAGGTAAAGTAACTTCCATCGCTCTGTTTTTCTATATACCAAATATCCATCCATCCATCGTCAACTGCTTATCCTGCGTACAGGGTCGCGGGGGGCTGGAGCCAATCCCAGCTGACATTGGGCGAAAGGCGGGGTACACCCTGGACAGGTCGCCAGTCCATTGCAGGGCATCTACCAAATATATGTTAACATATACGTATAATATATTTGGCATATACTATATTTACTTATACACTGTATATATTTATTGTATATACATATGATCCAACAATATTCAAAATCAGAAAAGGAATTTAATCAATTAATTACAGTATGTGAAAATAACACATTCAATTAAATATGGCCTACAGTCTCTGAAGTGAACTAGGAACTAACTATATTTGTTGAGTTTATATATTTGTCCAATTCTTGTAATTGTTGTGTAGAGTATGTCAACTGTATAATTTTAGGATACTGAGTCTATCACATGATTTCCTAACTATAAAGGTGTAAGTGTGAAAGATCTCTCTCTCTCTCTCTTCTGTCTCAGATCTGCCGAATGCTCCTGGTACCCCTGTGGTGACTGAGAGAACCGCAACAAGCGTTACACTCACCTGGGAGTCTGGCAACCCTGAGCCTGTTTCCTACTATATCTTACAGGTGTGTAACAGATGCAGAAGGGTTATTGCATTATAGCTAAAGCTGCAGTATTTGGACATAAACGGTTATTGACTGCCTAAATCAGTAAGTAGGGCTGCAAAAGAAAAATGTTCATTGTCTCTCCTGATAGTAATAAAATCACCTGAAATTGCTCAAATGTAATCTGGTGTTTTAGGAGTACTCAAGGACACACACAATGAAATGAACAATGAAATAGAAACTGCTTCACTAAAGGGATGACTCAGTACTCCATTCACAAAAAGCAGGACACCAACACCTACCTGTACATTATATGTGTAGTTCTGTATTTTTTGGCATACATCTTGGTTGGTATGAATATATTCCACAAGTGTATGAATGTTAGTTTCTGTTTGAGCACTTAGGCTCAGTGTATGAATGTGTGTGAATGGTGAATGCAATGTAGTGTAAAAGCGCTTTGAGTGGTCACAAAGACTTGAAAGGCTCTATACAAATACAGAGCATTTACACTGACATAGAGCTATATGTAGAGCTTTAAATCAGCATATTTTTGCCCTCTCTTGCTTCTTCCTCTCTTACTTCCTCCAGCACCGTGCCAAAGGTATAGAACCATACAAAGAGATTAATGGCATCACCAAACCACTGTACAGCATGGGCGGCCTCAGCCCATACTCTCACTATGACTTTCGGGTAGCTGCAGTTAACACCGTTGGCCAGGGCCCCTCCAGCGAGGTGGTGGAGGTTCTCACAGCCGAGCAAGCTCCCTCCTCGCCCCCTCGACGGGTCAGTTTCATTGAACAAATCAGAGTCAAAGAAATTTTATTCGTTCATCGATATTGCATCTATCATTTGAAATTGGCAATTTGTTCCTGCATGACAAGTAAGTTGACTTGAATGCTTAGCTGTAATTTCAATCTATTGTTATTGTGTATCATAGAATAACTTCACCTCAAGCTTGCCTGTTGTTCTGACTGACATAACAGTGTGTTACATAAATCCTATTTTAGGTTGCCTTTACTTCCCAACAATCCAACTTGCTTCAGTGTACATTTTATCCCAGGGCAGTGTTGCTGAAGTTCTTCCTGTCTGCCCTGCAGGTCAGAGGTCGTATGCTGAGCACAAGAACAGCAATCATCCACTGGGATGAACCAGATGAACCTAACGGACAGGTGGTGGGAAACAGAGTCTATTACACCTCAAACAACACGCTGCCAGTCAACCAGGTGTGTACCTGCAATTGCTTGGTGTCACTGACTTTTATTAATCACAAATGACTGATAACTTGTCTGTGTGTGTGTCCTTGTGTTGTGCAGTGGGAGAAGCAGATTGTGCGCAGCACGAACTTCACCATCATCCATGATTTGACTCCTAACAAGACTTATTACATCAGAGTGCTGGCCTTCACATCTGAAGGAGACGGCCCCCTGTCCCAGGACCTGCAGATTATGGCCAAGACTGGAGGTTAGAGACAGGAAGCAAGAGAGGGATGTCTTGATGGTTTTGCTTGCTGTTAGACAGACACAGTTATACTGAAAACATATGCACTTACTCTCTGCAAGAATAAAAGACTAATCCTGTTTTTCCTAAATTCTGTAGTTCCATCCCAACCTTCAGAATTTATGGGTGTGGCCAAGTCTGAGACCAGTATCTTGTTGTCCTGGGTAGCTCCACTCCAGGGTGATTCCGACAACCAGATCACAGGATATGATCTGGTCTACCGACGAGCTGACGACACAGAGGAGGTAAGATAAGAGGGAGAGACAGATGGATTGGTAGCTGAGAGGACTGTTTTGCATGACTAATAGGTTAATGGGATGGTTGGATGGATAAGATTAAAGGACAGATGTGTGAATAGATGGCTGGGTGGGAAAAACACAAGAACAATTGATTTTCACATTGAAAGTTAACTCTATATAGGGAATTTAAAGGATACTTTCACCCTGTGGAATAGTTAATTCAGCCTGTTTCTTTTGTTTTTCTCACAACCTGACGTCTTCCACTGTCCCGTTGTCCTTTTAGACGAAAGTGAGCTTTGAGCCTACCTCCTCTTACCTGCTGAAGTACCTGAAGCCTTTCTCCACCTACACCTTTCAACTGGCTGCCAAGAGCAAGCATGCAGTTGGGGTGTACACCAACGAGATGTCCATTGACACGCCACAGACACGTAGGTCCAACCACAAATACTGTGTGTGTGCAGTGTGTGTGTGCTTGAGAGACAGAGGTTTCCCTTCTGACAATCCAAAAATGAGAACTGCCACAGAAACTGAACCACAAATACATGAAATGCCAGATCTGACCATCATATATTTGTGTGTTACTAACAGTAATTGATGAGACATTTGGCAGTTGTTGCTTTTTTGCATTGTCACAAAGGGGCCGTCATGAATCCAAACATTATCTGAATGATTCCCACAGCTTATTCTTGACTGGCTACTCTCTACTGCCTCAGACGACGACATCCACTAAATCCGTGATTTCTGCTGTCAGCAGTCTGTAGTATCTTTCCCGACTTCTTCTGGCTGCATGGTATAAATCCATAGGCTGTTGGCTCTCGTGCTAAATAACACGCGTGTGCGCTCGTTCAGTTGTCCAAATGTCACTTCTCTTCTTACTTCTAATAAACCAGAAGACTACTCAGAGACTGTATATTACTATTATTATTATTCCCTCTTCTTCTTCTTTGTACGTATTCAATGTAGTGTCCAGCGTCTCCAATGTAGTGACCACCGGAATTACACAAGCAGAAGAAGAACGCCATGATGACGAAACACGCTCTGTAGCGCTGTTTGTTCGTTGACAGCTACAGTAGACACATGACGATAAAATTTCACGCAATCCAAATAAATTGAGACTTCAGACTCACTACGATCTGAACAGCCCCATTGTCAGCAAGTTTGACTCGGTTACCTGGGGATTTGAACCCTGGATCTGCAGATCTCTAGAGTAGGTGACTTACTGACTTAGCTACTGATGAGAGGCTCTTCCTACACACCTTCTCACAAGTGGAGGTAGTGACATCAGTTTGTCAGTTCAAATCTTCCTCATCTTCAAATCTCCTGTACTTATTGACATGTGCATGTACACACTCAAACAGCAACATTGGGAGTCTGAACTTGACTTAACTTTTTTACACATCTTTCCATACAGCAAGATTTACACGAACCCCAGAAGACCAAACAGGAGTCGAGGGAGGAGTGGCCTCCTTTGTGTGCCAGGCCACAGGGAATCCACAGCCCAACATCGTCTGGAACAAGAAAGGCAAAAAAGTCAGCAAGCACAGATATGAGGTACGATGCTGAGATACTAATGAAGGTAGCGTAACTTTGTGTGTTTTCTCTGATAGTATTGACTTCTTCTCATGCTAAAATGCTCTAAACTGAACTGGGAATGGGTTACAACAGAGGGATGTGTGGATCGGCTCTTTAAAACTGAAAACAGTGGAGAGATTATATGGCTGCCAGCATTTAGGTTAGCCAGATTTAGAGCCCAGGTATTGTGCATTCTGACTCACTGTAAGTTACTAAATAGAATAGAGCCATCATTAATGTTGTTAGTTACACCTGTGTTTTTCTTTGATGACAAGGGCCCGCTTTTTAGAAAGGTGTATTTTTAATAGAGGTTTGAATCTCTGGGCGCCTCACGATTCGATTACGATTCAGAGGGCTGCAATTTGATTATAAAACGATTATCGATGCATCTTGATGCATTATTTTTTTCTATACAGGATCCCTGGATAATTACTAAGCATTTAATTTGCTAATTAAAATCCAAAAGAAACATCTCCTAATCAGCTTAAAAGGACTAGTTCCCTTCATTTCATTAACAACCAGTTGTCAGACTCCTCTAAAAAACTGAAAAATATTTATAAGGATGTACAGTATGTGTACAGGACAGAGCTGTACACCAGTGTAGTCTAAGCTTGTGCCTGATGTTCCCAACACTTGACTAGCAGGTTAGTTAGTAATGACATACAGCTGATAATTAATATTGCTTCGTTAAGTTACTAATTTAGCTAACGACAGAAACTTAAAGCTAATATATTCCTCCGCTAACTTTCACCGTCACGTTCCGGTCCGGGTGCTGCACTTTGGAGAGTTCCGCCCTTTGCGTTTTGTCAACATTGGTATCATTTAAATAATTGATTTCTAGACATTTGTTAATCGATTCATAATCTTCAACATCCGCTTCGTGATGCATCTAAGAATCGATTATTTCGCCCACCCCTAATTGTTAGTACTGTATGTACAACCCGTTCTCACTCCACAAGTTGTCACAAATGGACCCATGGTCAAGACCCATCGGTGTCAGGTTGTAACGCACTGGAGATCCCTATAGTGTCATAGTTCAACACATTGGGGGAAGCCCTTTAGCGTCAGTTTTTGAAGGTAAAGGAAGGTATATGATAATTAACAGAAAAGAATGATTAAGGAGGTGGTTGGTGTGGATGGAGGGCCAGAACCCGGAAATTGAACCAGGAGTCCAGAGCAGAATCCAGGAGTAGTTTAGCCGGGCGGTTGTCCAGGCGGAGACTGCACGGGATGAGTGGTGTTTCCGGTAGCGGAACTAGATCTAACACCTTATTATGTGTCAAGTTCTGTGTGTTTTTAATTGATTACAGCTCAGCCCAAACTTGAAAACTGCTTTTCTCTCTGAAGAACGCAAAGGACAACTCAATCTTTTCACTTCTTGATTCTTTATTTTCTTTGAGATGGTTTGATAGACCAGTGATGGAATAATATGGTATAGTTTCTTGAATGTGACTTGATAGATCAGTGTGGGGCAGTAGGTATAGTTTGATAACCTTTAAAATACACAAACCAAAACATGAATTAGTTACAGATAAGTCATGAATCAGTCACACATAAATCACAATACCGCTTTCTCACAGAAGTAATAAATAAATGCTATTGAATCTTCAAACCAAACTAAACACGATCCTTAAGTCTAACCTAGGATTTTAACAAGAAAATACCAATCCCGTAATTAAACTCATGCACGTTACTTCTATCAAGTTCAACATTCACATAACAAATCCCCATTACTTATTTTAAATTGCAAATTACAATCCAAGCAGAACCTGAACATTTAAAACTCAATATATTCAAACACAGTCAATCATAAATTGTACTACCAGTTGCGTCTTTGAGTGATCAGGAGCTGTAATCATAGTGTCCTTTTCCAGGAATAAATGAGAGAACCAACCGAACTCTCTACAAACATTTCAATGCCATGCTCTCTCTGTGGGTGCGCAGGCAAATATAGTCCCAAAAGACCTGGGTGAACCTAGGCTTGGATTGCTCAGTACAACTAAAGCAAAGTAACCATAAATTGACACAACATTATGCAAAATTCACTTTTAATTTTAATTATAGCAACCAAATGCTCTTCTTCTACAATCGGCCTAATCTAATTAGTCTTATTTAATTCATTGTGTTGCTGTTTGTTTCCAGCCTATAGTTTGATACTGATTCATTTTAAAATGTAGGAAATTTGACTGTTTTGATCTGTAATGAAATTAAGAAATTGTAAAATCAATAAACAACATAACTTCCACACTACTGCTGTCATCACTCAGTTTAAAGTGCTCCCCACAGCTGAGGGCTTCATTTTGGAAGTGGTGACGCATGCATAGTAGAAGTATAACCAGTCGGGAAAAACGCTTTTTAAACCATATTTTGGTGCAAAGTTGTCAAAATTTTTGAGCGATTTTTATCAGATTTTAATGCTGATTCTAATGATGTAGTTTTTATGTCCCGGTGACCAGTAAGAGTGCAGTTCTGTCTCTCTCTCCATTCATTTAGATAGGAGCCTGGTCTTGTTAGTTCGAAATAGCTGCCTGGAAGTTTTGCCGAGTGGCATGAATAAAAGAACTTTGGTTAAACTACTGTTTTGTTATCTCGAGAACTTGAGAAAATGATCATAATAAAACAGAGTAAACATTTTTTTTTTTTAATTGATGGCCGCTTAGGGCTTCTGTACATATACTATCTAATTGTACTTAACAAAGAGATTAGTAGATGTCGAGTTTTGTAACATTTATTTTATCTGGTTTATCAAAGCCTCCGGAAAAGCACTGACTACTAAAGAATATTGTCTAATTGAGCAATCCAAATTAAATTATGTTTTAAAATTTAGACTTATGCTTATACAGCATGTTACAAAAGAGAGGTTACCTAGTGGCAGGTCCTCTGTTGCTTTGAGGATTACCCCTAATCATTACTAATGTTACTCGCTGCAAGTACAACTTGCAACAACAGCAGGTGGTATTTTTATCCCATTTAGTAGGGTTTAACCTGAACCTTTTTAACTATGGTACAAATATCCTGAATATGAAAAGGACCTGACTTGACCCCTCAGCTTTGTTTAGCAAATTAAAAACTAGGAAAAGACCTTGAAAAATGTGTCTGAAAATGACTTGCAAACAAAGTTGATGGTAACTAAACCATAAAAGATGTAAACACAACATTGACATATTACCAGATTTTAAATAGAAATGGTAAAACGTTGCCTGTATAATGATCCAGCAGACACAGAGCAACATTAAGATTCTTTTGAAGTTATATTTTTAACCGCCTGACGTAAGTTCAATGTTCACTCTCTTTTAGCTCCTCCTGAGGGAAATATTTGGTGTCTTTAGCTGCTAAATGTTCAATTATGTTCACCAGATAATCGCTAACTTTCTCTAAAAGCTGCTGCGGCCATAAACAATCAAGCGGTGAGAGTGAACCAAAACAGTGAGCTTTAATTCTCTGTAGGTTCGTCACTAAGTGACACCTTTCACTTAACGCATTTTGACCCATTTTTAATATATTATATTGACTAAAGCCGCTTTAACATGTTTTCCCTCTGACAGATAATAGAGTTTGACAACGGATCAGGCTCGGTCCTGAGGATCCAGCCACTGAGGACTATCATAGACGAGGTTATTTACGAATGTCACGCCTCCAACTCTGCAGGAGAAATCACTGCCTCCGCCAGACTGAGTGTGCTACGAGGTCAGTGTGAACACACATGCAAGCGAGAGTTTCCATTCATTGCCGTGAAGAAAATTGCCAATCATAATACTTTGAAGCCACATAAAAAACAGTCTTTATACGACACTTTGCTTATTTCATAAATGTGTTTTGTGTGTATCACCCGACTGTGAAGGTAACTGACAAAGCAGACAAACTTTATTGGTACTTATGTTTAACATTCCTCTAATTTAATGTTTGCATCCAGAAGGAATACTACAACACTAGAGTGGTTTTAAATCAGTTGACTTCATAAAGTCTTCGTAAAGTGTAAAGCATATCATTATATAGGTAGAAGGTCTTTAGTTTAAGATTATAACTGTCGGTGGGGATTGTATCACTGGATGGAGTACACAGGTATAATCGAAGTCAAAATCAGGTTTTTATACATGAAACTTGAGGATTGGAGGGATATGTCCTCAGTAGGGCTGATCCCGAATAGAAGACCCGATGCTTCGATGGGCGGAGCCTGATTCGACTGTCAATCTCACACTCGAAGCTTCACAGCGAAACGAGGATCATGCCATTTTGACTGTATGGGGGTGCTCAACGTACCAGTTTTCTCCCAATAAGTTAATATACAGCCTATTACAATATAAATTTAAACGTTTAATAAATAAATAAACATGTGAAAAGAAAAAAACTTTCAATAAATGTTTTTAAAGTGCTGAATAAATCAAAAATTGTAACCGTAACCATGGGGGGTCAGTGCACATGTGTAGGCGTAGCGTGCCTGTGTGTAGTGGCAGAAGAGGAACACTGGCTGAAGAGACGGAGCCCCAGCTTCACAGGTGTTGTGCCAAGTTGTCCACACCTTGCGGGACTTTCGGAAATTTGTCACCATTGATGAACCACACAAAGAATATTATATTGTTAAATAACAGGCTAGACACGCGAGTAACCATGTAGTGCACGCACTTGTCTATGATATAGAACGTGTATGTATGTATATGCATGCGAAGTATTACATTTTGGCCTAGGCGGCTTCTCATACTTGTCGGCAGCACACAAATCTCTACACAAGAAAGACCGGTGAATGGGTCTTCAGAAATTTACAGTGTAAGTTACACTGACTGACCTTGGAAAAGGTATCATGTAAATATGCATATAGAAATATTCAAATGTATGTGCAATTATTTATGGAGACAATTCACAATAAATGTATTGCAACAGTAGACAAATCTACTGAGTGCAAAGAGCAGTGTCAGTGTTGGAGCTCAAACCCTGGCCCACTTCCCCAACTTTACACTGGTATTAACAAGGCCAGTTACAAAAATGTCCAAATGTCTAAATAAATGCTACACAGTACACAAAACCTGCAAGGCAATCACAAATGTGCTCTGAGGCATGTGGCACAGAGGCAAGCTAATCAGTTATAAGACCTGAACTACATGCTGCGATTGAGAGTTTGTAAAAAATAAAGTTAAAAGTTCTGGATAAATGGTTAAAATACCTAGTGTCTGCTCTACAAGTAATAGTAGTAGTGGTAGTAGCATGAATGTGAACTTAACTTAACCCACTGAAAAACGTGACAAAGCCTAAACAATGAAAGTTTTAGCATCACTGTCTTTTATTTACTGTAACAACAAAAGTTACTGTAACAGCTACTTTTATATATTGAATAGTGTTAAAAAAACCATCTTGTATAAAGTCCATTCAAATTAACACAATTGAAACATCTGTTGGGATGGGAACTACAGCGCTACACTACCAAGCTGAAGATGTGAGTAATGTCCAGCTCTGTTTGACTCATGTATTTAATCTTTCCAGAGGACCAGTTGCCCTATGGGTTTCCCACCATAGACATGGGTCCCCAGCTGAAAGTGGTTGAGCATTCTCGGGGCGCCACCATGGTCTGTGCTGCTAGAGGCAACCCTAAACCAGAAATTACCTGGTTTAAGAATTTCCTGCCGGTCAATACATCCAATAACAACAGAAGAATCAAGCAGCTCCACTCAGGTAACCAATGCATTTATTGCTCCATTCTTTACCTTCGCTTCAATCCTAGTTTGCTTTTATCCCTCTTTCAATATCCACTTTCTCTTATCCTCCTTCTGCCGATTTTTGTAAACTCTTCAAGGCCTTAAAAAGTGAACTCCCAAGTTTCTCTGTTGTTCTCCAAACTCTCTTTGGTCTTCCTGGAGCAAATCACCGTCACAAAGGGTTTAATTATTTTCTAACTAAAAACATTTTGAATTAACAGCATCAGTGTGCAACATGTCCCTAGTCATATCTTATTACATTTCTTTACATGCAACATTTGCAAGGTAAACCCAGGTGCTCACTGCTGCAGGGACAGACTGGGATTAAACAATGGCCCTGGACTTTGATCCAGACCTGCCCACCAGAACGTTCCAACGTATACTCCACCACGGGCGCTAATGAACTCACATACAAACAGGTCCAGCCTCTAATACAACCACCTACCAGCATCACAGCCATTGATCACTAGGCTGCAGCACACCCTGGCCGTAACCAGCTATGAGGTCACATAGCGAATTTCAGGGTGGGTGAAATAGGGTGAAGCGTCTCCCCATCAAGACAGACAATGTGTGCATTTACGCACGAGCCACAGCAGCATAACCTCATATTTAAATCTCCCGACAAGCTGACTGGATCATCGGATCTAATGTTAAATAATATGCTGTGTTCTTCTATACACCCAAAAGGTCACACACACACAGTCCAGTCACACTGGAGGAGGTGCTGCGCTCTACATAAATACAATTTTTAATAGGCCTAGTGAAACAAAATCGAAAATCAATATGTATGTGGCGTACAGCGTTGATATTGAGGTGGGCCGCCACAAATCAATCAATGTATGGGAACTTTATACTGTTCAGCTGCCCTATCTGTGGCATCACTGTCCTCTCTGTCTAATCTTTCACCCTTGAACAGGGCTGTGGCAACTTTCTCTTCCCGGTCTTAGCATCGAGTTGGTTACTTTTTTACATGTACTTGCACTTCGGTTAAACTGTGCTTTTCAATTGTCTCTTGTAGCTCGTTTTCCAGCTGTCAGTGTCACTGTGGTGTGTGAGTGAGATGGATGGGGTGGAGCTAAGGGCTCCATAGACGTTCATATGGAATAGACCAACAGGCCTGGGGAGAAGGGGGGTAGGCCCGTGTCGCTCAACCTTCTGCCAACTTTTTCACTTTCCACCAGCCCCGAGTTCGGCCGGCCCACCAGGATTTTCCCGGTACTCCAGATGGCCAGACCGGCACTACACTTCTGTGATTAAACAATCAAATGACTTCCTTATTTCATGGAAAGTGTGTCTTTGTGTGGGTGTGAAACTGACTCACAGACATTGTATCCATGTGAAAATACATTCACAGAATTTTGTTAAATTAAAAAAACTAATTACTTGGAAGAACTCACATTGAACAAATTCCTTTCCAGTCAAGCAACTTAATCCATCTCAATCAGTTTTTCATTAGCATCAGTAGTGTGTAGTGTGTAAAATACTTCCAAGCCCTCTTTCTACTTCCAGGGACCCAAAATCTCTTGTGATTAGACACCCAACTCCCTGGCTTCTTCTTCTTCATCCTAGAGGTAGTTGGCCTCAATCTGACCTGTGCACCTGCATCCTTTCCAAGAATTACATTAACATTCTCCTCTCCTCTCCTTTCCTTTCCCACTCCTTCACTTATTAAATTATTCTTTCCTGCACTCGTCATTCACTCACCCACTTATACTCTCTTCACTCAATGGCGATCAAGTTTCAAACTACTAGACATTGATTGTACGTTGTAGTATGTATTTCTTAAGCCTGGTTACTACTGCTTAGAAGTGAATTATATAAATCATGTTTGATGTTTTGTAATTTTGCAATAAGGGCTGTAATTTCTTTGTTTATATTTACTTTAGTCAATGATGTCCTTCCCAGAATGCTTTATGACAACGTCCAGAGAATATGCCTGGGATATATAGTTGATAGATACTTTTCTTTTATCACAGTAAGCTGAAAATCTGAGGGTTTGGGACTGTTGGTTGAACAAAACAAGCACTTTTGGTCCTGGGATATTTTTGATTAAATGATTAATGGATTATTGAAGAAAATACTCAGATGAATTAGTAATTAACACGCACAAATGTGCACATACATTTCTTCATTGTTTTTTACCATTACTTTCTCTCTTATTACTGATAAAAGCCTCAAACAACCACTTTTTTGATTAAGTTTTTATTTTACCAACCCATCTCTAAAGAACCTCTGGTTGACATTTTTGACGTTTTTTCTGTCACAAAAAAGCATTGGTCCTTTCCCAAGTCTTTGAGTATTTTGTTCCTTTTTTTATCTGTTGGCCTTGATTGAGGTCGGTTGATGATCTTTATCTCCTTATTGGGTGTGTTTTAAAATGACATCACACTCCTGATCCCATTGATGGATGCGAAAGGGTTGGGGATATTTTATTGGCAGGACAACATCTTTGTAACATTTTATCCTTGAAGACTAAAAAATGATTAGCTCCCTAGTATATCTTAATTTTCAGCAAAGACTTTTCAGAATACTGTAATTTTCACTGGACTTCACATTTTGGTTTATTTGTTTCTGCCTTGCATGAAGACTGCATTCTCTGTTTTTGTAGGCTTTGTATCTGTGCTTTTATTGTTTGTTTTTGTTTTCTTCCCATAGCTAACTCAGGAAGCTGACTCTTGTTTGGGCAAATTCTTGCTGACAGTGGTAGAAATGTGTTAATTTGTCCCAAAAGTTTGGCTGAAAAATCCCACAGATTCATTTACCCTTTGTGCAGTTCTAACCATTTCTGTTTTGATGTATCTAGACTATACCCAGTTATCTGATGTCTTCCACATTTGTGTAATTGCTCTTTCTTCCTCACTATCTTTCTATGTGACTCTCTCTCTCCTGTCCCTATCTTCTACTTTTCCTCTCCATCCCTCCATCCATCCAGGTGCCCTCCAGATAGCGATGAGTGAAGAGTCAGACCAGGGGAAGTATGAGTGCGTTGCCACCAACAGAGATGGGACACTCTACTCCAGCCCAGCTAACCTCTATGTCAGAGGTAAGATGGGGGTTAAAAACCAGCCTGTCCTGTGGGAACCAGAGTCCAATGGATGTGACAATGGATGTATAGATTGCGACATCTATTCCAAGAAAATATTCATACGTTTTTTTACAAAGACATCTTCTGCTAGGAATGTGTGTTTATCAATCAATGTGATGAAACTTACATTGGTTTTATAATTCTTTGCTGTATAGACATAAAACAGGATGGTTTTAAAACGAGAGCTCCCAACACCATGAATAAAACATTTTGATATCACATGCGCCCTAGTGGTCTTATAATAAATTATAATCATACAGACCCTGGTTGTCATTCACTGCTCTGCAACTTGGTGAGCAACACAGTCACGAATTTATAATGACCTCACTTTTCTCCGTGTTTTCATTGCTATCTGGTCCAGTGCGTCGTGTCCCCCCTCGCATCTCCATCCCACCAGCAAACAGCGAGATCAAGCCAGGGGGGAACATCAACATCTCCTGTGTGGCTGTGGGCTCCCCTATGCCGTACGTGAAGTGGATGCTGGGAGCAGAGAACCTGACGCCTGAGGATGACATGCCCATTGGCCGCAACGTCCTGGAGCTGACTGACGTACGCCAGTCAAACAATTACACGTGTGTCGCTATGTCATCACTTGGTGTGATTAAGGCGGTGGCGCAGATTATTGTGAAAGGTGGGTTTATTAGCATGTATATGAGGAGGCTTATGGGTGAGGGAAGTGTTGGTTTGACCTTTCCCTCGGTGAGACTTTGGTTCTGACTTTATTCATAAGATCATTTTAAGGAGGACAAAACCAGTAGAGCCAGTTGAGGTGGTTCGGGCATCTGGTAAGGATGCCCCCTGGACGGCTCCTTAGGGAGGTGTTCCAGGCACGTCCGGTTGGGAGGAGACCTCGGGAAGACCCAGGTGGAGGGATTATATCTCCACACTGGCCTGGGAACGCCTCGGAATCCCCCAGTCGGAGCTGGTTAATGTGACTAAGGAAACGGAGGTTTGGGGTCTGCTGTTCTAACTGCTGCCCCAGCGACCCGACCCCGGATAAGCAGTTGAAGATGGATGGATGGAAAACCACAGCATAGAATTCTTCTCTCTGGGAATGAGCACTGGGACTATGTCTAGTACACTAAAAAGAAAATTTACATCACAAAAGAAATATGATGTAAGACTAGTAGGTAAAGTAACTCCCATCGCTCTGTTTTTATACATACCAAATATATGTTAACAATATATTTGGCATATACTATATTTATTTATGCACTGTATATAAATTTATTATAGATACATATGATCCAACAATATTCAAAATCAGAAGATAAAATTAATTTAATTACAGTTAATTACAGTATGTGAAAACAACAGCTACTTGAAACAGTCTTTGAAATGATAAACTAACTACATTTGTTTTGTCCAATTAAGTTTATATTTTTGACCAATTCTTATTATTGTTGTGTAGAGTATGTCCACTGTATAATTCTAGGATACTGAGTCTATCACATGATTTCCTAACTATAAAGGTGTAAGTGTGAAAGATCTCTCTCTCTCTCTCTTCTGTCTCAGATCTGCCGAATGTTCCTGGTACCCCTGTGGTGACTGAGAGAACCGCAACAAGCGTTACACTCACCTGGGATTCTGGCAACCCTGAGCCTGTTTCCTACTATATCTTACAGGTGTGTAACAGATGCAGAAGGGTTATTGCATTTGCACACAGTTCTTAAGAATACTAAAGCTGCAGTAGAGTTTTATATGGACATAAACTGTTAACAGCCTAAATCAGTAAGTAGGGCTGCAAAAGAAAAATGTTCATTGTCTCTCCTGATAGTAATAAAATCACCTCAAATTACTCAAATGTAATCTGGTGTTTTAGGAGTACTCTCTGCCCACAGGGACACACACATACATCTATATCTATATATCTATCTATAGGCTGCATGTCGAAGTGTCCTTGGCCAAGATACTGAACCCCGACTTGCCCCTGATGGCTGTTCCACCAGTGCATGAATGTTAGTTTCTGTTTGGGCACTAAGGCTCAGTGTATGAATGGTGAATGCAATGTAGTGTAAAGCACTTTGAGTGGTCGCAAAGTCTAAAAAGGCGCTATACAAATACTTAACATTTACATAGAACTATGCGTAGACCTCTGCACAATATTGGCTAATGCAGCTAAATCAGCATATTCTTCCTCTCTCTTGTCTCTTCCTCTCTTACTTCCTCCAGCACCGTGCCAAAGGGTCAGAGGACCCCTACAAAGAGATTGATGGCATCACCACAACACTCTACAGCGTGGGCGGCCTCAGCCCAAACTCCCACTATGACTTTCGGGTAGCAGCCGTTAACACCATTGGCCAGGGCCCCTCCAGTGAGGTGCTGGAGGTTCGCACAGCCCTCCTTGCCCCCTCAACAGGCCAGAGTTTCATTAAACAAAGTAAAGTCGTAAAATTTTATTCTTGCATCAATATTGCATCTGTCATTTGAAATGAACAAAACAGCTGTTGAATTGGTGTGATGCGTGGATCGGCTCTAACATTATCTGAATTCATCTGTATGCATAAATGGACTGTGTGTGAGACCTTTTGGATGTGTAGAAGAACACAAAACATTATTAGATACTGACCCATGTGAGGAGATTCAAATAGTCAATGAAGTTATGCTAGTGTGCCTCGTGCATAAATGGTGTGTCTCTTATTGGGGAGAGCTTCACCATATTTCCCCACTCGTTATTAAGAATGTTTTTATTTTATGATCCGGGCTGCCTGTCCACACATCACATTCAACAATAAAAACAACCGTAATATCAAAGGGAAATTTCATTTAGGAATGTGGTTAGAACAGCGCCTTACAAAGTGCTAAACAAATGGTGAGGGTCAGAAAGTTTGATTGCACTTTTGATAATCTTAACAAATGCTTACTTATGCATACAAAAGGAACAATGTAGAGACCTGCTCCCTAGCATGAGTGGTATTTTCCGGCTGTATGTCATGCCTCTTATAAACGTCACAGCTGCCGAAAAGACTATTCAAAGAATAGTATGAATAGTGTTTATTGTCACTGTTACATATTTACTGACACTATGTATTTTCCGTTCTTCCCCAGATGAAATGAAATAATATGAGGAGATACAGAAGCAGAGCAACTCTGACAAATGTGTACCCAAAACCAGCTACTCTGTGATCAGCAATCTTCACCTTTACCTGTCTGATACTTTTGTATATGCATTTGATTGTGCCTCTAATAACAGTATAACGTAATGCCAAAGGTTTTTATTTGTTTGTCTTGTTGTTGTTGTTGTTGTGTTTGGACCATTGCAATTTGCAATATCCTCAGAACTAATATGCAATCTGTGAAGTATTTCACTCCAGTTTTAGAGCATTTAAAATCACAGAATTTGTTCTCTTGTAAGTGTCAATTGTTTATTATGAGAAATGTTTTGGCTCTCAAGGAGCTTATGACATCCTTGCATTTCTTGAACATCACTGTTTGTCAGTCAGCGATAGGGCTGGAATTAAATGATTATGTTCATAGTTGATTAATCTGTTGATTATTTTCTTGATTAACCAATTAGTTGTCTGAAAAATTCAACTTGTGGTATTCTGTCCGGCTGAAGTCACGTTTCCTTCCTGAGTAAAAGATAAAGATGTGTGTGGTGATGTAACATGATGATTTAAACCCAGTGGCATATCAGATCAATTGAGTCAAAATAAACTGCACTGAAGTGTTGCTTCCACTTTATTTCATGTGAACCCAAATTAAACCCAATTCTTACTGGGAAGAACACGACATGGACAAAAAGAAACTGCAAAATCCATTTCAGTAAGCTCACCATATGTCTATCACAAAATGTATCTTTGTCAGACAGGAAGTTCATCCTAAAAAGCCCAAAGTTGAGTTGGAAAATATATAGTTTTCAAAATATACGTAGCTGTGATTGTATAACAAATTTGAAAAATCATCATAATAAAACATAATTCGGCATTCTAGCTCACATCCATGCTCTCTGCGGGCCCTAAGCCCCCTCCCTCCCCTCCCTGGACGCTCTGGTAGATGGATGCCATGTCAGCGTTTGTTCTGATCTGGTTTGCAAAGTCAGCCATGGTGGGACTCCTCTCTACCTCAGGCACGGCCAGCAGGGCGGCGACAGCGCGCATGGCCGAGCGACGCAGCTCCTCCTGCTTTTCAAACTCCTGCTTCACAGAACCGGCCTTCACCTGCGGGTGGTGGACACGGTGGGGGTTTAATTCACTGTGATTGCATAGTTATCCACAACGTAGTCCTCAATGCTACATGCATTATATATTTTATAAGAAGAAATACACACAGTTCTGGCCATCCCTCTTATCAGTTATGATATTTTTTTTATTTTTTATTTTTTATTTGAATATGTACCTCACATGGATGCCACTCAAATGTTGGAGTTCAGAGGGCAATGCATTACACATAAGCAGTTTATAACAATGTAGCATATTTGCCACTCAAAATTTGACAATAAAATGATACCGTGCCACATTTCTGTTGTAAATGTGTCCAGAGAAAAAATTGCTAAAATGAAATTAGGAGCAAAACAACCTTGCTGTAGCAGAATCTAGGACCAGCTTGCACTTGGCTTTTTCTAACATAACCTGTAATGACATCCATCTCCTTGGACTGGAAGTATCACCTAGGAGCTTACGTATGAAGTAAACTAGTTAGCCAGGCATGCTAATGTTAGTAGCTTGTGTAAACAGACACTGTTTAACTTAAGTTTTCTTCTGTGTTTTTGATTGGACAATTACTGTTTGAGGGATTTAGACTACCTTTTAAGTTAAATAAATAGTGAATGCCCTCAAAACATAAAAAAATGAAGAAGGTTAACAAAGAACAGTTTGTAATACAGATTTTTTTGTTTTTTTCATTCCAAAATAAACATATTATATAAGACAGCCAAATATTCTATATTTTAAACATGTCTGACGAGTCGTGTTTGCAAAGCCTGATGGTCAATTGCTACTGACTTTCAACTCAATTCAATTCAATTTTTTATATAGCACCAAATCACAACTTTATCGCTTTATCATAAAAGAGCAGGTCTAGACCATATATTATTTACAGAAACCCACTTCTTCCCAGACTTCTAAGAGCATCAGTACCTTGGTAGTGCAGGTAGCTTTAAGTGGCTCTATTAGTCTGTCCAGTCTTTGGAGAACAGCAGCAGGACACAGAGAGGCCAGTCTGGCTAGCATCAGGAAAGTCAGCATCTACAACACACACACACAAATAAGTGAGAGGACTGAGTCAAGAAGATGAAGACTAATGTTTGTAGTTGCTGATTCATATGTATAAAATAGTAATAAACTTTATTTATTAGGATATGTCCGAACAATTTTACAAATTAAGAACAATATGAGCAAAGATGACCTAAAGACAATACATTAAATAAGCACATCGCCAAATAAATGTAAATATTTCCAACAACTTTCACAACAAGAAATCGTAAAAGACTGTTCTGTTTGTGACCTTGCTGTGTGTGTTATGTGTGACTTAAATCTCATAGTGAAAATTGAACTCGATAGATTGTCATGGTTGTGCTAACCAGAGTAAGGAGGAGAAAGCTGCACCTACCTCTGATGTGATCTTTTAGTTTTGTATTTTCCAGTATTTTCTACCCACCCTGATATCATAGTGATCTTTGAGTCCTTCCTCGACATGATCTAAGAAGTGCAGGACGTCCAGCCCCTCCAGGCAGCTGTCCAGCAGAGTGTACATACACTCAAACGCTGCTTTACGCACATCCAAACCATCATCCACAGTGTGTTTGAATGGACCCATCTCCACCTGCAGAGCAAATGCAGAATTACACATCTACACATCAGACATGAAGGTTTTCAGCTTCCTGACCCGCCAACCCACCTCTCTGATGAGGTCCTTCCTGATCTGGGTCTCCTTATAGAGGTGAGGCAGCACTGACGCTAGGAGACCACGGATCAGAGATGGTTTGTTATGAGCTGCAGAGTTAAACATCACCAAAGCAACACGGCGCACGTTGATGTCGTCATCCTGCAGGGTCTTCAGGAAGTCACCTGCCAAACAGAGATGACATCATTGCTATAGCTATAAAGGAAAATTTAGTGTGTGTGTTTGTTTTTGTCAGAGCCTATTTATATTTTAGATGTTTGAAGCCAGTAAAACTGAACAGGTTCTGTCTTTTTCAGGTGTTTAGTTCAAGACTGGGATGATTGAAAGATTAAGTCTCATTATTCAAGTCTGTCTGAAAGGCAACACACATGTCCAAAATCACATTGAGATAGTGGGTTTTATACTAAAAAGACAATATTTGTAAGATACACACTTAAATGCAGACTCCTGAATCATTTACCCAATCATTTACACTGGAATGGGATCTCTTCACAGCCAGTATGGACAAGAGGAATGATTACAGCGACCAAAAACTCAATGTGCATATGTGCAATGTGAGAACTGCTTTAAAAACACAGTGGAATTAAAAATGCCTCTGTCCCTGTGTTATTATCTCTCATTACATGCTAAGCATGTGTCAAAACTCTTCTTAACCTCGGGGATGGTTACATAAACATAAACTAATGTTATTTTGGGGGACCCTGTCCATCATGTAAAACCACCATGTTAAAGATGCTGTAACTTCCGTTTCAATGTAATTTTCAAACAAACGTAACTACCAAAAATGAACAAACCTTTAAAATTAGAATTAGGTTCAGGTTTGTCCTCCAGGTGTGTCTTACCTATGCAGTCTTTCAGCAGTGAATCTATGGGAGCAGGGTGATCAACAATAGTGAACTTGATAGCTGTCACTACTGTGCTGCGAGCAGAGGAGAACCTGTGAGGGGGCGGGAAAAGGGTTCTTTAAATTATTGTTTTGTTTGTGCTGCTTTATAAATGAGCCTTTAACAGAATGTTAAAAAGAATGGTGGGCAGCAACAATATCTTCATCACAGTATGAGACAATGTTACTGGCAGCATAGAGTAACTTCAGAAACTGCCATCTTCATTTGCTTGTTTTGTAATTTAAATGTTCACTATTGTCTCTTTATGACAATCTGACCAGTATTCCTAGAGACACACTGCTCTGAAACAAAGTATTGGATTGACAGACAGAACGATTGGCCACCAACACTGTGCAGCTGTTATTTTAGTAAAGATCAAACCTTGACACACACATTTCCCTCCTCACACGTCGTACCAGCTTTAAGTTGCTGTTTAAGTTTTGGTAACAGCTGGGCAGCGTTGACTAAGGTCAGTTTTCCCAGACATTCAGCCACCAGGTTCCTGGTCCCCTCCTCTTGACACTCGCAGTTCTGAAACAGCAAAGTCCAGATAGAGTCCACATGGGGCGAGAGACTAGGGGCTGGACAGGCACTGCAGACAGAGAGAGAGAGAGAAAGTTATTCAGCAAGTGGACAGAAGAGGAGAGTAGAACATTTTACCAAACTTTAAAGGGAATCTGATTAAAGCTGCACTTTGTATGACACAAAGTATGCCTGTTTTACCAGCTTAAATAATAAAGTGGGGCTGCATAAAATATAATGTTGCAAATTCACACATTTTGCCAAAATTAAACTCTGCTTGGTTAAAAACAAACCCTGATTTAATAATGAAATATAAAGGTCAATATTTTTCTTTCACTGCCACTTGATGGCGCCAAATTGAGATGTAGCTTGGTGACGTTTTGTAACACAATAAATTCAGAAAGATATGAGAAAAAAAGGGACAGGTAACACTTAGGAGAAAAGGATGTAATATGCATTCAAAGATTAAAAGTTCAATTAAAACACACTTAAATGGACACAGAAACCCATGAACACACACACCTGATAACTTCTTTGAGGGAGTGCAGCAGCAGGTATTGTCTCCGTGGCTGGGAGGAGATCTCCTTCAGCATGAAGGGCAGGTAGTCGTTCAGGCTGCCGACCGCCATGCTGCCTAAAGCGCAGGACGCTGCCGTCTTCACCTGAAATCACAAACTTGACACTGTTAATATGAAAAAGTAAGTCATATTGTTTCTTCACCTGCCTTCATCCAGGAAAAGGTTTGGCTGAACATACATGCTGAACATGTTCTCAGCTCACCAGGTTACAGGCGAACCAGAGAACCTCACACATTGAACCATCCAGAGATGACTGAATGCTTCACTAAATTAAATGTTGAAAACATAAATATGTTTTTCTAGTTTCAACAGAGAGTATAACTTAAACAGTAACTTTTCACATTCACATATTTGAACGCTGTCCTATTCTTCAGAACATTATTGTCATCTGAGCAAGATTGATGAGGAAAGACAGTGGGATGCAATTGAAAGCTCCGTAAATAGCTATATGTGAACCGTCTCTTTGATTCTGGCTTATCAAATGTAAACATTTACAGATTTTCTCTGTTTTATATCTTTGTAAATAGGACAATTTTACCATTTGGACTCATGCCAATCATTATGAATGATTAACTCTGGGCTCTGGGAACATGTTTTTAGATATCTGATAGATGGACTGATAAAACTTAATGAAAATAATCATTATTTGCAGCCTGGGAACTGTGTACATCTTACCTCCTCATTGGTGGAGGAGATGGCCTCCAGGATGACTCCCTGCACCTCCTTACTTCCTCCCAGGCTGCCGCTTCTCCCCACCTCCCCGAGACACAACAGGGCCAGGACTCGAGCAGACTCTGGAGAACTAGGATTCTTTACCTGAGGAGAGCAGGGGAGATCCAGCA